CACATATATCGCCATCAAGGGCTCTTCTGGCTGTCATATCCGCAGTAAATTCCATGACAGGTCCCTGAAGAGCCCGGAGCCTGGGCCCCATGAGATGCCGAAAGGGACACATGCACACACACACAAACACACAGTCTCTGTCCAAGTCAACTGTCCAAGCTGGACCATTCAGTAAACTCTTAAACCGAAGTGAAAGAAAAAAACGAGAAAAATGTAATAAGAATAAAAAAAAGATTTGGTCACACAGCAATCTCTTCACACACAAGTCTAGTGCTGCAATGCGGTGTAAATAAAAACTGCACAACCAGGACAGCACTGCACACTGTAGAGCTTCCGGCGCCTCTCGAGCACTTCTGTGATTCAGTGAAAATCAAATTTACACAACCCCCCCTTATTCCAAATGAAGTTTATCAGCCAAGACAGGCTTTACTTCTGTCCAAAACTTTACTTCTTTAGTTTTGCACTGGAGCTACGAGTCTAATGTAGTTAACAAGTAAAGGAAGTTTATAGCTTCCAGTTAGCATTACACAAACTGCATGACCAAATCAGCATTTTCCTACTGTTCAGTTGTTACATAATCTCAAATAGACTTGCATATGTAGTTTCTAACACCGTTATCTATTAAAATTGCCAAACTATCTCTTTAAACCTGTCATCACCTGGGACAGAGTTAGGCAGAATAATGGTGGCCATAGTGGTAATCGCTTTGATCACGGTCCCAGTTAAGCAGTTAATAGCCCAGACTGAGACTGCGCTATTGCTGTGGCTCCCCTGGGGGTCTTTGGAACCGGCTCTGACCTTCTGCGGTTCTCATCTGGAGCAATGGCCACTGCCGGCCCAGAGTGGGAAAGCCAGAAAGGGAGCGAGGGAGAGATAGAGAGAAAAACCCTCCATCATAGCTGCCAACTGTGTTTACAGCTGCGCGGCATCAAACATTCATCAGATGCCATCTTTACAGTCTGTGATGTGAAGCAATCAGCATTTCACAGCCTGTCAAATGATGTCTAAACCGCTTGCTACCTGGCAGTGTCAAAAAGAAAAACGGCTCAACACACACACAGGTTTTTCTTTTTAGTTGTGACTACTGACAGCCAAAGCAAGCTCATATGTTAAAATATTAATTCTACTTAAATACTTAAAGCGCTGTAATGACAGCAAAGCTCAAAATCAGCTTTCATGTGTAAATGATCGCTTTTTCTTTATCCCTCTCCCACCCTTTTTTCATCTTTATTGAAAACGCTTGGAAACTTTCAAGTTCTGAGGCGTAATAATTTGGCCATGTAAATGCTCAACTCATTTAGCCTGTGCGACAAAACTTTTTCATGGTGAGTTTGTATTTTGTGTGGACAAAGAACGGGAGATTTTCTTCTGCTCCCTGTCTGCCATGAGAGCCTCCACATCTTCCTTCTGGAAGTACAGGCATAATGCATGTTCTGAGCACTGCCACTGTGTGCATGTTTGGCAGGGCTATAGCACCATCTGCAGGCTCAAATGGGCAATGCAGAAAAGAACTCTGAGTGACCCCTCTGCAGTCTCTGCTGATGCATGCCACATTCATCTCTCTCTGTCTTCGAAAGAGCCACATCTAAAAAGCAGCATTTTATGAAGATTTTAGCTGTCACAGTCTCCGTCTCTCACTATGTCTCTCTCTCTTTTTCTCTCTCTCTCTCTGACTAGAGACTGTGTGCTTGTCAAAACTTTAGAAGTGCCGTTTCTAGGCTCATTACTGTAGCATAAACAAGTAATAAAATGTATTCCGGGTTTTTCTGTTTGGATCTGGGTGCAGGGCTGCAGATGCCTTCTAAAGATTCGCCAGAAGTTTCTCCTTAAATGCAGACGAAGCGCCCTTTCAAGATTACCTAATGAGCTGGGTGCTATTTTAAAACTGAGCCGCCGCAGTCTGATATGGAGGAAAACTTCAAAAGGCGGGCGTCCACTTAGAGTGGAGATTATGCAATCAGAGACAGAAGCCCACCACCCTGCAAACAATGACTCGAATGCTCAGATTTGTACACATAGCGCGTGATATAGCTGGAAAGATCTTTTCATTACATACCATACAGTACCACAATGCAGTAATGTGGTAAAGCTAAACAACAGGGCTTCGATAACATTTGGAACTGCATTCACAACATGCATCTGTGTATATGTAAGGCTTACGTAAATACATTTATAAAGTTCCAGATCAAAACGTCCAGACATTTTGTTTCCATCATCTGAAAACGCCAGTTACCCTTTACATTGTGTAAACATTTTATGGCGATTGGACCAATGGAAATGGCCTAAAATCCTGTATATATGTATATATATATATATATATATATATATATATATATTAAAAAAGGTAGTGAGACATTTTGTGCTTAGTCCACATGTTCAGAGAAGCACTCTTTGAGACACAGATTTCTCTGTGTCTGTGGATGAAAAGCTGTGTCTTTTGAAAAGAAGTGAAGCCAGGAGAGGGAGTATGTATAAGCTCTGTGCTGTGAGGGAGGTCAGCTCAGTGGCCTCGGGGATTTCCAGCGGCAGAGTGTGTGTGTTCTTGGAACAGGCGCAGCTGCCGGAGCCTATAGCCACGGACAGAGAAACCGCAGTGGAGCGAATGCATTATAGGTGTAAAACCCTAAGAACTGTGATTTCCGGCTGCTTTATAAATAATGTATGGTAACGTATATTAAAGCCAGGCTCACGCATGAGGCGGATGGTACTAGCATAGCCTGGAACGCAGGGTGCAGAGCAAAGGCATTGAGACTGCTCTAATTATGCAGATGTGAGAGGCAGGCAGAGGCCATCTGCCCATGTCTGACTCACTTACCTTCGTTACCTACAGCCTAAAGACATACATACAGGAGAGAATGAGAAAGGTGTTCATTAACTTAGCTTCACACTGCTTCAGAATGCTCACAACACATCACTGCTGAGTTGGTGGAAGAGGGAGCTGTGTTTGCACACACAATTCCTTGCTGTGTTCAGCCTTAGGGACAAAAAAGCTCAAAATCAAGAGGAGCTTTAGAGAGCAGCTAATAACAATAAAAACCCTCACACTCTTTGGTTACTCATTCGTATACTTGCACTCCTGTAAAATGTTTGGGGACACTTCGCCTTTTGAAAGTTGAACTTTCTCAGTATTACCTTTCAATGAAGTATGGAAAAATACAGTACTGTTAAAAAGTCAGAGACCACATTTAATTTACTTAAATCCCGGTTGAAACACCAATAAGTACGTGTTATTTATTTTTCAGCATCAGGACATAAAGCAAAAAACTAAGTATAATATTAAAGTATGAAATCAAATGTTTCAGTATCTAGTGTGTCTGCAGCAGGGGTGTCCAATCTTATCTGCAAAGGGCCAGTGTGGTTGCATATTTTCACTTCAACAAAGCAGAAGGTCACCTGATGAAATGTTGGAAGAACACCAGGTAGTTCTTTATTTAATTTGCAATTCTTTTTCTTTTTTGTCCGTTTCCTTTTATCAGTAACAGCTTCTTGACAGCTACACATCCTTTCAGACTAATAGTGTTGAGTTGTCTTCTCACAGTAGAAGGATGAACAGAATCACCTGTGTTTGTTTTTCTGATCTAAAGCAAGAGTGGAGCTTAATTTTATTCTGTCTTTCAAAGACTTTAAGAACTATTTATCTAACGGTGACACTTTTTGTGGCCTTACAGATCTTGCATGGTTGTTAGTAGTCCCATTTTCTCAGTCCCATTTTCTCTGTATCTTTTTATACTTTTTTGAACTCCACATTTGGAAACTGCTGTTTTTTTTTTCATTTATTTTCCTTAACTTTGACTTTCCCCTTCCTTTTGCAAGTGTATGGTCTTATATTTAATTTCTTCAGAAATATCTCCTGAAAAAGGAATAACATGTATTTACTGGCCATTTTTAATGGAAGTTAAAGAAATGAAGGGTGATCCCTGACTTTTGCACAGTACTGTACCTGCAAAGTTTTTCTTAACATAAAACAGCTATTTACCTGGCTAATACTTTAGGTGTGTTTTGCAACACTCAGCTTTGTGTCTTCTGGAGTGTCTTTCCTTTGTATGAAGATTAGAAATGCCAAAAATACTCTCTTTGCAGTTTTCTTTTACAAACTATTGCTAAAGGCACATACTGAACATATTCTGGCCCAAACACAAAGGGATGAAAACATAATTTTTACACATAAAATGATTTATCAATAAGTATGCATAATGGCCATGAAATCAACACGCAATATTTCTAGATTTCTGCCTTCTTTTGTATGCACGAGCATTATGAGCTCTGATGCATCATCTTGGATTTATTTTATTTACACGTGCGGCACTGAGTTGCCACATGAGCCACGGTGCAATTAAGTGCAACTGCATATAAATATGTAAAACTTTTTTTTTAGTTTTTTTTGGATAAAGAGATACTTGCTTACCGTCCCAGCCCTGTTAAAATCACTGCAAACTGACAAAGGCTAATTTTATTTTTAAAATGCCCAAACTTTTGACAGGTCAGTTTATGTACAATTTCCTTCTAAACTTCCTAATATAAACCCTGCATCATTCACCCAGCTCTGTATGTAATCATGTGAATTGCAAGCCCATCATCAAGACGCCTCTTCTTTCCATTCTCTGAGCTGCATGAGGGAGCAGCCAGCGGCAGTGCCCCATGCTTCTCTCCCCAGGTGGCCAAGCACACAGCCATCCAACACCTGCCCTCTGGGGGGCGCTGCTCATTCCAGCAGCACAGAGGGGAGTGCAGATTGTACTTTGGCTCTCAGAAAGCCCTGCCTCTGAAAATGCCTGGAACAACACTGCAAGGACAACTTTCATACTGCATAGTGCGCCGCAAAGGTGAACTCCATGGAAGTATATTGCAACCCTTGGTGGCAAAATTGTAGTGTTAAGTTCTCAGAGTGCTAAGAGAAATTTGCTTTATCACACATGAGTGATTACTTTGTCAGTCAGTCTCATCACTAAGAGGTAGGCCTTGTGTGTAGATATCCCATAGAGGAAGGATGGAGGACTTACCAGAAAGGCGGTGATGCTCCTCTGAGTGCTCTCCCACTGAAAGCAGCTTTTAATGTACTGCAATGTATACAGAACAGCCATGCTGATCCTCCTCACACGGTAAATGTTGCGCGCTAACAGCTAATGGAGGACAAAACAGTAGTTAGCAAGATGTGCTTGGGGATGTAATGTTCGCAACACGATGTTAAGTGAGGTGTGGAGAGGCTTTTTACAAGGAAGCTTAGCTGGTGATAAATATTAATGTATTGAGTTGTGTTAGGGCTCTGTGTTGATGTGAAGCCATATCGGACCATATTGTTGTCCTCCAACATCAGGTGACAGACTGCAAAAGACCAGTCATGATCAATAAATTCACCTTTTTATTGAACTTCGGGCTGTCCTCCACAAACTTCTTTTCTTTAGGCTTGAATGTTCTGATGGCAGCTCTGACCTGTGAGAGGCAGAGTTCAAAGCAATGACAGGTTAAAGCCATTTCCAAGTGCAAGACGTTCATCATAGCATGATCTGCTGAATGTGGGAAAACAGTGGATGTCAGATAACCCCCACCCCACACCCAATTACTAATTAAGTTATTTTGAAACAGAATCCAAAGTACTGTTGAAGTGAATATTAAAAAAAAATCATCAAATCATCTGCTTAGCCAAAACAGGTCTAATCTGCCTCTTGACTTTAGTCTACATATGGTAGGGAGGGCTAAGCAGTGTCCTGTATCAGTGCCCTCTGTTCAATTTACAGCTGCATTCTCACCGGGTTGTAGAAAATGCTCATCTCCAGAGTGATGCTTCCTTTGGATGGCCCTGCCAAATCCTCTTTTTTCAAAAGTCTGGTTATCTGCTGTCCATTGGAAACCTAAACATTAATTATGTGTGTTAATATTACCAAAATGTCAAAATGTAAAACAAACTGGGGGCTTAGAATTATATGGTCATAAAACGGATGGTTGCAGTCCTGATTGGCTGAGCTGCATTCGAAGCCATTGTAAAATACTCAATATACGCACACCAGCCTCACAACAACTGAGTTCTGTATTACTGCACTACGTCACAAGAAATCATTGCTCTGTAAGTGGATTAATCTTTGAATCTAATGCTGCTCGCATGGACCACCAAGTGCACTGATGAAGCAAGAACCTGTTTTTGTTTAAACTGAGGGACTGACAACTTATTTGAATTAGAATTACTCTGGTCAGCTAACAGGCTAAAAGATAGGCAACAGGCTAAACATTGCCATCATTAATATCACATGCCTGATATGAAGTACTTCAGATATGATTCAATGTAAAATGGAAATACAAAGGTCTAAAGAATGTCACTTAAATGGCTTACATGCTTTAAATGTCCATATTTCAGTCAGATCTGTCTTAAATAGCATCAAACCCAAGCTGAATCTCAAATGGCTCCATACTCCCTAAATAGTGTCTTATGGACGTTATGAAATACTAGCTTCTATGGCCAGACAGTGCACTGTTTGTTCAGTAAGGATGCAGCTGAATACCAAATGACTATTTTTTTAGCAATATAATGCACTTTTGGGGTGCAGAAACCAATATTTCAAGCCCTAATTATGCACTATGTAGGGATCAGGGAGCCATCTGAGATTGAGCCCCAGTGAGGGAGGAGTGGCGCCATCAGCTTGGTGCTAAATAAGACTGGTAATTACATTGAGGGCATAATGGAAATTAGCAAAGTTGTCATGGTGATAATGACCAAACTACTTAAATAGCAAAGATCTTTGCATTAAACAGTGCTGTTATATGTTCCTTATCATACAATAAAAGTTAAAAAAGTTCATAGTGCAGTATATGGTGATAGGTGACTAAACATTCTTCTCTTTATTCAGCGGTCCATGGCTGCTTGAGAACGATACCATACTCTAAAGGAACTACAATTTTTGGCACAATACTCATTTCTGTTTATTATTAATAATAATGTAAGTAACTGACTTAAAAATTGAGTATTTTATCATAGTTTATAAAAGCAATAAGGCACTGGAGGCTGTGTGTTACTGTGATTTTATCATGGAGAAGGGAGTTTTAGGCACTCCGCTTTGTGCTCAACACCTTCTCTGCGATAAAATCACAGTAACGTACAGCCTCGCATGGCTTTATCGCTTAAATCTGACATTTTTGTTGGAATTAAAGTGACACACACAAAGTTAATCATTTAGTGTTGATTACTGTTGCTGTGGTATTTTTTTTACATTGATCATAGAGCCTGTGTAAAAGGTTTCTTCTTGAAAATGACAAGTTTAGTGTTGTAAGGTTCTCTCTGTATCAGCCACTGAGTACAGTTGATGAAAGTGCGATAAACAATCAAAATTCATGTTTTACTTGTGTGCCCAAGCTCAATAATTCAACGTTTACAGGGATTTGTAGCTTTGTTATAAAGCCTAGTTATATGAGACTTTTTAACAGTTTAATAAGAAATCATAGAAGCAAAAGGTAAGCTGAAAAGGTAGTAATACTGCCAACCACTAATTCAAAGGCATTTTTTCAGAAGCAGTTATTTTGCTAGCAATCGTTAATGTTCTCTAAAGTTAGTTAGCTTTTATCCAGCTATGTCATCTCTACAAAATACAGAACTAACTAACTAAAAGTTCAAAGACCAACCACTGATTAATTAATACATTTTTGCTAATAGCTAATAACATTTTTTTGGTGTGATCAGTTGCTTGAAAATAAAAATACTAAAGTTAGCTAACTTGCCTTATCTAACTGGTGTTAGCTGGACCGCTAGCTATTATACAGTTTAATTAACTAAATAACAATTAGCTATGAGAGTAGCCAGGTATAATAGCTAGCATACTGCTTTTTCTTAACAAATTTCCCCATAGTACAGAATGATGTAGTGCAAAGGATTCATACTGTTAACTCAACCTGTTCTGATGCTTGTTTCTTGAAATTTCTTCATAATTCTTCTTAATTCTGGGTTATTTTTATACAACTGATGTGGCTCATGAAAGCCAGTAAATAACTGAAAATAAATTTTACATTAAACATCATACTACATTGTGTTAGACAGAAACAACCGTCTTTATATTTACCTGCAGTTCATGTATTTTAATTATTTACAGTAACAGAATTCAATTCACACTGGTGAATTTTACATTCCAATGGGAGTTTGTTCTCAGACAGAACCTTATAATTCTAAACTTAAAGAGAGTTGTGACTTTGTTAGAATATGAAAGGTTGCTGTACTACATAAGAGCTTTGTTATTTGGAGTGAAATATATGCTCATCAGTATCTCAACAATGAACTGAACGCGGACAGAACCTTAGAATTCTAAGCCGACAAAATATATAGATCTCTTGTGGGCTATGTTTCCAAAGCAGTACTCATCAAAAGATTAATTCATAATAAATAAAGGTCAGATATTTAGACTCCCAGATAAAAATAGACAAAGCATTAAAATAGGGCAAAAAACTATGAAAACAACATGGCTATTTCTGCACTTACTGTCAGCAAAGGAATAGCAACTTTTCCCAGAAAGTCCCTCGATTTGTCTCCATCTTCACCAAAAACGGTCAGCTCCAAGACATCATGGATATCCTTAATTGGACTGTAGAGGCCACAGACTCATATTGTAATGTACTGAAGTTTGGGAATGATGAGCATTTGGATTGGAGCTGCTTAAAACATGAAATAAATCTAATAAAAGTGTACAGGAGATGCTGCAAATCACCTGCTGGGAGATTAACAGTAAACACTGTTTTTGGACCTGAAGTCTAGGCTATATATTTAGGTTACAAAAACATTTATGCGACACTCACAATGTAAAGGCTGTTTTCCATTCTGGACTGAGGGTCTTGTAGATGGTCTGAGATTGTAACCTGCAGTTTCCAAGCTCCAGCACACAAAATGGGTCACTCTTACCTTTAATAGTGAAGACAGATGTTTGCATTGTGAATGTGGAAATGCTGAAGCTTCCATTAGATTCTCATTAGGTCTTGAATCAGTTCAGTACCATTTAGATCTGTGGAGGTAAGGTCTGTGGCCCTCAAAACCTTGACCTGGAGGTATCCGACATCCTGTAGGTTCATCAGTGTGTTCCTCAAATTCTGCCCACAACATAAGCAGTACCGTTCCAGCATTATTATCCATGGAACAATTATTTTAGTGCAGTTTGTGTTTGATCAAAATGAATTTACAAATAGGATACTGTGAATCAAGCTGACGGCTGTCAATGCAGACAGAATGAGAGAGTTAGGGAAGAGAAGAGACTAACGTATTGCTTCAGTATCCCTTCACAGGTAGACAGATGATCTAATGGAGCAGATCCCATGTCAGAGACGGACGCTCCAGGGCAGGGGGTGCGGGTGACCAAGAAAACCAGCCGGCCTTTGCCTGCACCCACAACGTGTGTGTATGATTGCTTCTGGTTGACAGGCAGTTGTGACAGGTCAAATTCCAACCTGCACGAAACAGCAGTTACAGATACCATTTCAACCCAATATAAAAATAGTGTACATAAGCAAAATAAGCTGATTATTCCTACTTATTCTGTGCAAAATTTGAAATGTTTCTTCTTGAATTTTGTTTCTTTCTTTAGTAGGGCTGGGTATCGTTCTAAAATTTTCAATAACGCTGTCTTGACATCGATACCGATCCTGAACTATACTTTTTTCCCCTTCTTTTAAATGGTGGTGGTGTTCTAGTATGTGTTGTGCTGGTCTGAGTGGATCAGACACAGCAGTGCTGCTGGATGTTTTAAAAACCTTGATGTCACTGCTGGATTGAAAACAGTCCACCAACCAAAAATATCCAGCTAACAGCATCCTGTGACCACTGATGAACGACTAAAGGATGACCAACACAAACTGTGCAGCAACAGATGAGCTATCGTCTCTGACTTTACATCTACAAGGTGGACCAACAAGGTAGGAGTGTCTAATAGAGTGGACGGTGAGTGGACACAGTGTTTAAAAACTCAAAAAAACGCAGCACTGCTGTGTCTCATCCACTTGCACCAGCACAACACACACTAACACACCACCATGTCATTATCTCTGCAGTGCTAAGAATGATTCACCGCCCAAATGATATCTGCTCAGTGATGGTCCTGTGGGGTCCTGACTATTAAAGAACAGGGTAAAAGGGAGCTAACAAATCATGCAGGGAAATACAGTCTGTAATTGTAGAACTACAATTTGCTCCTATAGGGTAAGTAGAGCTGATAAAATGGACAATAAGTTTAGATACAAGAAGGTGTTCCTAATAAAGTTCTCAGTGAGTTATATGTATATAAACATATCTGGAGAACTACTGCTGATAATAATCCTTGAAAGTGACAAAGACTAGAGTAAGAAACTAGGCAGAGAGGGTTCTTGTTGCTGTTTTGAGGAGAATGAACTATAAAATTAAGGGGTGTGTGTGGTTGAAGTACGAGCGTACGTTCCCCAGCATTCTTCGCGCTTTCGGCCCCTCTTGCAGAACACCTCTACCACCAGCATGTCTGGTAGGCCATCGTCGAAACGGTTGAAATCAAATGTCTCCCTCCACTGTGGGTTGGCCTTTATGCACAGATTCTGAGAAAGCAGAGAGAAAAAGAGAGAGAGAGACACACACTACAGTAAGCAGGCTTAAGGCGGTGCCACTACTGAGACAGTTAACATGACAGGTGAATTATGTTTCATTGAGCCAGGCTAAGGCTGAGTATGGCAGGGGGAGGAGGGGAAATGGGGCATTTTGGAGAACACGCTTACGTCTCCTCCCTGGGATTACAAATCCTCAAATCTTGACACCATCCAATTAGAATGAGCTTTGTTAAACAAACAAGCAAGCCCAAACAGAGCCGAAGCTGTTAAAAAAAAACACAACAATGACATGAGAACACAGGACCAGCGGTGGGTGGAATCGTCAGGGGGGGAGGCCAACACACTGAAGCAGAGGCAGATGAGCAAGGCATGCTGGGTACGCAAATGAACCTAGTGAAAAGCAGCAGCAGAAGCATCAGGAGAGCTGCGGTGCCAGCCACAGATAAACTAATGAGCCACTCTCAGCTAAACCTGAGAGAGATGAACCAAAGAGTGTGAGAGTGAGACAGAGAGGTGGAGAAGTAGAGAGGTATAGAAAGATACAGAAAAAGCATGCATACTGTGATAAGGGGTGCTACAACTGAAATAATCACATGGAGAGAAAGCCCAGGAAAGGGGAGAGAGAGACACAACTGAGAGAAATCGGCTACATCTCTCACCTTGCTGTGGAACCTCTGGTCACCCAGGCTGAAAAGGACATATACGTCACCCTGGCCACCCTCAGGCATGTCCTGACCCTCTACCAGCACCACTGTGTACAGTTCGCTCCAGACCTGGCTCTTCTGTGTGGTGGCTGCTCGCACCTGCTGTGGCTGACCCTGGAAACCAACCCAAACAACATTTTCTCAGTTACATCAGTTACATTTCCCTACAAAAATTGTTCAACTTCAAAATTGGTATATATACATGCACCGTGTATTGTAATGTATGTTCAATACATTTGTGTTTTCTATGGGCAGGAGACAGTGATCATTTGCTTTTTTCACCTTCACAAGCTACAATATTGTTAGTATCAGAAGCAGACCAAAGTACTACTTAAGTACTGAATAATTTATTTAACTGCTGTGGAATTTCTTCATAAATGCAATATCTATCAGCATAGGAACTGACATTTGTTAGGCTCTGTTGTTCTCATTTTGATGTACTCTCGACCTAAAATAAAATGATAAACCTCAGAAATCAAAGGTGACCAAACATGAAGCAGTAAACTTGCTGTCACCAACATAATAATTCAACAGAAAAAGGAATTAGTAACTAAATGTTAATAATTAAAATATTAGAAGAGTAGAAATGACAGTTAAATGACAGTTAAAGTAGTTCATTTTTCTCACATATTTACTAGAACAGAAGAATGGCTCCTGCTCATACTTGGTACTAAAATGTGTCTCAAGAGATCTGTTCATAAGTGGCATGACACAGAGACGCTTACACCTGGTAGTTCCATGTGCTTCAGAAGCATTTTCAGTGACCTCTTATAATCGGATTTTGTAACGAAAGGAAGGGTACCATGCATATTTACTACGTTAGTCTCTCGCTGCTTTTGTTGTCAAGACAATAATGTACCGCAAGCCCTCATTCGTATAAACATAAGAACTGTTATAAATGCTTAGATTGCATGGACTGCTATCGAAATTTGTAAACAAATGGAAGAGGAGACGAAAAATATGGTATGTAGCTGCTTTCATCTCTGCTGTGAAGAAGCAGTTGATTAAGGCATTCCTTTGATGCTGTTTCTTTTGGACACTTTAGTGTTCACACTATAAATGCTGTGGTCATATGCGTTCCTGACCACCTCCAAAGGTAGTTTGAATGTTTGGATTACACCTCTCTGAGACATATTGTACCCTGTTCACACCTGTACTTAGCACTTATGATCGGATGACCCAGGATGCATGTTAATGCCAGGTGTAAACAGGGCACAAGTCGAGTGAGTGACAGAAAGCAAAAATCAAACCTGTTCTCTGGTGTTTGGGACTGTAGCATTTTAGTTAGCAGGCCAAACATACCACACAGCACAGGCTTGGTCCCAGCTAACTGATGCTAACATGACACACATTTAGAGGGTATCTGAGAGCTTAAAGTTGAGTGTCTGAAAGCCAAAATCAGTCACATTCTGTGGTGTGTCTAGTAGTCAGTGGAAGATCCAAACATTTGATGCCATTGTTTCTAATGAATGTGTGCACATGAGCACCAGCACTTAACAACGCTGACCACTGTTTCTCAGTGCATCACAGAGCACCACTCAGCATTTTGTCATTACTATGTTAAGTTAAAGCCACAGTGAGACAGAAAGCCACAGTAGATAATGTGTGGCTTAAAATTTACACCGAGAAATCCAGTCAGTCTTTTAGATTAACAAATGTTATGTTCATCTAATGTTACAGCCAAATGTTATATTTAACTAATGTTACAGCCTAGTCTTTTTCTGCTCACTAACAGAGAGATGTTAGTAAAGTAGTAAAGTGTGCCAAGCGTGATTAAAGATGGTGAATCAACTTTCAGCAGCAAAAGACAACAAAAAAAAATCAAACATGCTAACATGGCTAATAACCAGCGGAAGCTAGTGGCCACCATGACTCTATTTACATAATGCTAATTGGTGGCTCAGAGCAACATTAGCTTTTCTGTCTGAGCTATTCCTATAACATGAGTGAGTTTGTTAGCTCGCTAGTTACTTACAAGCCAGGTCTATAATGGTGCTCTGTAAGTAAAAAGCCAAGTTGCCAAAAAGAATAAAACAGAATACATTATGAGCGTAGCTGCATCCGCAACATTTCATACTCTTTAAAAGTGGCAACTGAGATGTCCATATCAATGAGCGTTTGTATAAGAGTGTAAGTCCATTACAGGCAGATGGATGGTACTGTGGTGAAGGGATGGCTCGTGGGTTGATGGCCCTGCACTTTAAAAACAGCGGCATCTGCGAGCAGCCGGCCAGGTTTGCCAGTAATCAAAGAGCAGAGCTGTTAGGAGGCCATGGCTGGTGTGGGAGAGGGGCTGAGCCTATGTCCCATTAATAGCAATCCCCCCTCAACCACAAACTGCATGCTGCACACACCCCTGCATTACCATGTAATGTGATGGCCATGTCTCCATAAACAAGGCCCTTTAAAAAGAGAGAGAGTGAGAGATAAGGGGGGCTGCGGAGGGTTTTTGGGAGAGAGATATAATGTTCATTCGAGCCAAGTCATCCCAAGTGTTTATTTTGGACAAATGTGCGATCTGCGCGGCCAATAAAACAATTCCACTTAACAGTAAGTGGCCCCTAAAGAGAGGCTATTCCTGGTGCTAAAAGGGTCGGGGGATTGCTTCCATATGGTGGGACAGCATGGGGACGGGGGCGAGGCGCTCGAAGCTCGGCCCATTTGGCTTCCGCCGCTGAGCTGTCCGTCCACAGCTGTGATATTACATCTTAACATCTGGGTTATAGCTCGCCATGCCTGGGAATGGGCCGCAGCTCAGATCCTCAGCATCCTACGCTGGCAGAGTGCCTTGAAGAGCGGACACACATACATATACACACAGACACTCACGCAAGCTCAAGCCCCCCGTCAAAGTGAGGCAGCACCACACATTGCACGCCAGTGCAGTTGCCAGCCTCCATCTCGGAGGCAGTGTCAGTGTGGCTGTGATGGCGCGAGTGTGAGAGAGAAAGGAGAAGACGGGGAGATGAGAGGACAGTCTTCCGCCTCTCCCGGATAGGTGTCAAATAGAGCTGGGCCTCAGCTGTGCCGACAGAGAGATGCGATTCAAGCCTGCTGCAGAATAAACCGCCAGTGCGAAAGCCCCAGAAAAGCAGTCACCTTCAGAAAGAAAGACCAGTTGAACCTCATCAAAGTTCAGATGAGTTGTCTAGATCCATATTTTGAGCCAAGGTCTGATCTAAAACCTGAGCTGCATCTGCCTGCGCACATTTTGCCATTTCATCTGCGCTAAACTGAATTTCCTTAGAGAAATATAAGAGATATCAGTACCTATATAGGCTAGGCGTAAAGCCACACCAACAGAAGTGAAATAATGAGAGGGAGCGTCTATCCAGGAAACATCTGAAGTGCCTCTTGGCTCTGCCTCTATAAATGAAAGCTATTGCTCTGACATCAAGCACTTTTGGTTGAAATGTGGCTAGTCGTTCTGAGCTTAATCAAAATGCAAATAAGACAAAGTGACATATTCAGACCACTGCAACATGCCATTCAGTCCAGCTGCAGTTTCGGGCACACTGTGTTAAAAAATACCAATCGTTCCTGAAGCAGATATATGGAGATTTATAAAGCACAAGCTGAGACGGTCAAAGGAGAAGTCACTCTTAACAATGTGTGCTGTTTGCATTAGAACTTTGAGAAAATAAAGTTCTATAGGGACATCATATGATGATTTACTGCCCTCCAGTGGCAAATAATAGAGCAACTGAAAGTTTTTGCTGCGTTTATAGAAAAAATACTCATTTCATTGCAAACGCATATTTATGTGACTTTTTTTTTTAACAGTTTATTATTTTACAGCTTGTGGGACATTTATATGAAAGGGACCATAGAACATAAAGGGAACAACACAAAATATGTAAAATAACATGCTTAAGATATGCTCAGTTGTATCTGAACATAGAGAGTTTGCCAAAGGCTACCAAGAATTCATCATTTACCTTATTGAAGCTTCCTTTCCTCTTCATTGGCCACTTCTGGAATAGAGACACAAACCAGTGAATACCTAAACTAGCTGGCATACAGTAGTGTGTAAAAAGCTTAAATACATAAGCAATTTTTTTAAACCATTCATGTGGACTATAAGAGTGTAAAAACACCATTTAAGATAAAATAAATGCAAACATTAATTCAGTAAAAAGTAATAAGAATTTCAGAATTCTTTTGTTTGCTTTCAAACAAGTAGTTTTATGTGTGAGCTAGTTAGAAGAACACAGGTTTAGTTCTAGATTTTTTCACCCAGCCCTGAGTCATTGCATGGATGTGTTAAATTATATCACCAACATACCTAATTTAATTTAATAAAGGACTGATTAGCCAAACCAGGCACTGGACGATGACTACTAATAATACTGGGCTGCCATAAGGAGAGAGTTGGCAATGGTTAAACTTACACACTGAGATACACAAAATCACTACTTATTACATGAATGTCTTTAGTTCAATATTAGTATTTAATATTAACATTACATTGTTTTTAAATATAAGATTCTCAGGTGCCTAAAACCTTTGCACAGTACTGTATGTTGTGTGTTTTGTATTCCGAGCGTACATTTCGTTTGGTGGGCCCCTCACAGACGGTTACACAGGCGTCTAAGATTATAACCCCCATGTCATCCTCTGGACTGCCAGCATCTTCTAAACGCAAGATCATCTCACATGTTCTGTAAAAAAAGGAGCAAATAGTACATACGATGAGTTACTCAAATGTCGCTACTGCAGTAGATGATGCCAGGAAATTCAACAGGATTTTATTCTAAGTAGTTCTGAACATTCTGAAATGCTCACATAATGTAAAGGACAGCTAATGTTAAAAAAGGTTTTAAAAAATACTTGATATAAAAATTACAAAATAGAAATGTGTTGTACTTGTCCAACTCCAGTTTATTAAGAACGACAGCACTCGAGCCCATGAAGTCATGTGATCTCAGGTCACGGTCATACACCTACAGCAAATTACAAATGATCAGAAAAGGTTCTAAAGATGGAATTTAATTATACATAAAGAAATACTGTTGTCACACCTTAACAAAAATGGTTTGCTCCAGGTCCCTGACGGTAAAGGAGAAGGACTCATTCCACAGAGGGTTCAAGTTCCTGTACATAACCTTGCTTTTGTATACCGTCTTGCCATCTAATTTGAATTTGACGTATGGGTCACTCGTACCTGTTGAAAAAGAGTTTGAGAAAAAGCAGCTGTCAACGTGTTTGTAATTACTAAAATCACATTTTCTCTGTAAAACTCAAGTATGACTTTACCATACAAAGCAGCTGGCAGGGTATAAAATACTTAAGTGCTGTGAAAAACAGATTAGCTTTAAAAAGAAAAAACAGCCATGTGGTCCTGTTAAAAAAATCTGTATGGCCCACCCAACCTGAAAACCACACACAGATACGTACTTGCACACATATGCACACTAGATACAGCAGCAGTGCCATTGTTCAAGGCCTGGGGGAGGAGGCTGTCACATCTCTTTCAGAAACAGAAGGATGCGAGCTGGTTAATTGTAAAAAGGACAGAAAAAAAATCTCTGGCCAGCATGAATCCCTCAGCACATTAAACCCCCCGAAACCAGGAGCAACTGGTGTTAATCTCCTAAAAGCCTGTTAAGACTTCGTCCTGCTATGGCCGGGTGAAGAAGAGAAGAGGGACAGTGTGTCTTTGTCTATGCTATGGCATGCAAGATTGGTGGTAAGAAAAGGAAGGGGGGGGGAGAAAAAAAAGAGAAACAAAAAACAAAATATGAGAGTAAAGAAAGGAGCCCATGGCTTCATTTGTATGGACGGATAAAGGGGGTGCTTGAGAAAAGCTGCGGGGAGCCTGGAATCACATGACAAAAGGCCCTGTGGGGACGGGCTGTCAGGCCTGTCAGAGCGTTCCTCTCCAAATGAACAGCTCCAGGAGGCAGCTCCGCCCTGCCAGCCGCTGACAAGCCTGCCTCAGGCAGCCTGACAGGAGGAGAGGGGCAGAAGCAGCCAGGGAAGAGCCGCAGTGTGACTGAAAACGGTGACGACGGAAATTAACGCGGGTGGGGTGTTGTGGTGGTTTGGGTAGGGGTGGGGGGGTGTGTAGACAAAAAAAAGGGAAGGAAGGTGTGTGTCTATAGGGGGTGGGCTTGTCGGACCATTTTTAGAGGACATAGCGGCAGTGTGTGTGGTGTCAGGCAGGCCGCGGGCTGGGCGTTAATTGTTAGGCAAATAGAGGCGAGGTGGGATGGGGGGAGTATTGTGCCTCGCTGTCAGAGAAAGTGAAGACTCAACTAGTGAAGAGATAGAGAGAGAGATCAGGGTTTAAATGGCAGCTACACCCCGTACCACCTCTACCTGCAGTTTTAATGAGAGCCGTCATGAGCAAGCTGCAACAGATTCACAGAGATTTCTGATATTTTTCTCTTTTGAAGTTTGAAACAAAGGGAGTTACATTGCCAGTCAAAAAAAATGGAAAAATCTATTTTCATAATAGGATAACCAGGTGTATTTCACGTGTGATTACAGTTCAATTCATATGTTTAGAAAGCTCAGCTGAATTAGTAAATTTCCATTTTAAAAATATACTGACATTACAAAACACATTTAGTAATTGTGCTCAGATGATCATAATGATGATTACTGGAAGTACACAGTGAAAAGTTTACATATCCCTGTATGTTGAGACTGTTAATACACACTCAAATACACTGGGAGCACTGTGATGATTAAGAATCTGCACCTGTGACTGTATTCAGTCTATGTGTATCAATGTGTTTTTATGGGGAAAGAAAAATAATTGTCAAAGAATCTGAGAGACAAAGTAATTCCACATTATAAAGTAGGAAAAGGTCATAAAAAGATGCGAATTAGACATTAAATTAGATATTCGAAGTCTGATAAAGAAGTGTGGGCTCTACACCAGGATCAGGCAGCCCAAGAAAGATTTCTGAGAGATGCAAAGAAAAACTTCTCTGAAACAAAGTGGTGTGGCTGTTAAGAATGTCCAGTAAGAAGATACTTAAACAGAAATGGGATGCAGGGTAGAGTTGCCAGAAAAAAGCCACTTTTGTGCCAACACCACAAAACAGTCTGTTTGCAATATGCCAAACAGCATCTAGAGAAACCAGACTTCTAAAATAAAGTAATTTGGTGGGAAGAGACAAAAATGGTACTTTATAGTCACAACCATAAATGTCATGTCTGGAGAGGAGTTAACAAGGCCCATGAAGAGAAAACACACCAACCTTACAATGAAGCATAGAGGTAGATCTCTGCTGCTTTGGGGGTGTGAGCTTCAGTGACATAGGAAATTTAGTCAAACTTGATGCCAAGATGAATGTAGTAGATTACTAGAACATCTATGCATCTAGGAAAAATGAATGCATCAGCCTAGAAAGCCAAGTTGACCCTGCAGTGGCTGCAGCAAAATAAAATGAAGGTTCTGAAGTGGCCCTCATAGTCCCTGGACCTCGATATCATTGAACAACTTTGAGGAGAACTCAAACGAGCAGTACATGCAAGGCAACCAAAAAATTTACAGAACCTGGAGGCTTTTTTTTGAAGAAAAGTGGGCATCTTTACCACTTGAGAAAATAAGCACTCTTCCACAACTATCACAAAAGGCTGTAGGCCTGTTCTGATGCTCCAGGTGACAACATACAATCTTAAGAACCAAGAATGCTAAACTTTTGACTGTATAATTTCAGTTAATACAATACATACAAATTTCTGTGATGACATCTGAGCACAATTACTAAATAAAATAAACTATTATAATTTTTAAATGATACAACAACTACAAATTCAGCCAGGGGTATGGAAACTTATGAAGATCTGTATTTGTGTCAAAAAAAAAACTGACAGCACGTGTCACAATAATATTTACAAGTGCAAAACTGTTTTCCTTAAAATAAACTTGTTTAGTCTTTCATATGTTAAGTTATTGCAAACAGACAAAGAATACTCATTTCATTTTGTAGCTATTCACATGTGCTATCCAATTTAAAAAAAAATTCACAATGAAGCCCAGAGAATATAAACCAAGGTTCACTAATCACTAATAATTTGTTGCCATGGATATATGGCAAAGTCATATTAATGTCTGTTATGGAATTTTTTGTTAATAGGAAAATAAAAAAGCATCATTTTGAATTAGTTCACATTTAAATATGTGTAACTAAAATAAAATATGACCAAATTAAAATGTTTTACAGCATATTTTGCTGTATTTTGCTGATATGCCAACTGTTTTTAAGTTAAATCAGATCATTTGAAAAGGCCAGCTGCTATTTATACTGTGAAAACTTTATGATCAGTGGATCAATGTAAATGATCCAAAATGATTTAAAAAATATATTGTTACATTAACTTACATTAAACGTTAAGAATGTTTTTCATACTGCATATTTTAAACAGTGGTCTAGTAAGTAGAGAGCTATAGACCTACTGATGACTAGGCCACAGTATGCTGTAATGAAGGGCTGCGGTGAAAGCCGAAGATGCTGTTTGATGTTACTACCAGCAGATGGTGATGTATTTCACTTTTGTCTATGACTATACAGTTCCTGTATTGTCTGAACAACAAACAAAAAAATTTCCTCTGAGCACATTTTAAATTCTGAGGAGCTTTTTTTACAAGACTCCATTCTGTAAGATCTAGTCTTCGTTTCATTGCCAATAATTGTTCTTTCTGCAAATGCTGAGGTGAGTCAAGTTATTACCAGATTCAACTGGCTGTGATGAATATGACTGAAATATTGTAATTATGAGAAATAATGAGGGGATGATCGTAATTAACAGCCTCTGGGCATACACCTGTGACACTCATCAGGAGAATTAGGTGCCCAATCAGCTCAGCAAGGCCTGCCAGATAAACTGGCACTGGATCTGAAGAATTGTGCTGGGCATCAAATTGGAATTGTGCTCGCTCCATTTGTGCCTAAGATTGTTGCAAACACTTTGCAAACTAAAGGCTCTTGTGAAGATTCCTGTGTGTCTATGCTTGAATAAGTGACAAGAAACTGTGAAAAACACTGGAAAAGCTTTCTCTCGCTGGCTACTTTACGCAGCAGCTTAGCCTGACTGTACTCACATTGACTCTAGGCTTTGTTTTACGCTTGGCTAGGCCATTTGCATTCACTGAGCTCAGAGGAAAGGGTCATTTGCTTCTTCACGCAAGTATGCCAAAATAGAAACAAAGTTTCAGTGTGTCGGCTCTAAAGCCACAGCATTTGATTACTAGGCTAAAAAAAACTTGTTTCTACCTAATGCGTAATTGTTTCTGCTAACACTAGCCAGTAAAGGAGTGGCCTTAAGTCAGCAGCACTGTTACATTCTGGTCAGACCACATGCCTCACTGTTGTCTCAGAACGGTGTCATCAGCCTATAGCAGCTGAGATAAAAAAAAATAATAATAATGCAAGGATTGTCATAGCAATGTTTTTTAATTGCACTGCTCATATACTGTCAAAGTCTTTGGCATCTGAGAAAATGATACGTAAAGTTATTTTCTAAGAAGAATGCATTAAGTCAATACATGGGTGAGGAATGCAGCATGGCAAGATATATTGCATGCGTTTAGTCTCATGTCTTGCAAGTCATGCACGCAAGACATATCAAAACATCTAAAAAAAAAAAGCATACAGGTGATTCAGTTCTTACCTGCAAATACATGTATGTACAGCATGTTAACCCCTTAAAACCCCAGGCATATTACATCCTAATGCTCATTAATCAAAGGCTACAATGGAAACAGTTATTCTAAAGCTACAGAACTGTGTAATTAAAGTGTGAACCTGCTGGTGGGTTCAGGCCACTTAAAGGGCCTATTAAAGGGGAATTCAACTCAGCCACCGTGCTTCCACAAAATTTCTGTTTCCTGTTATAAGGCAAAATAGTGCCCAAGGTTTTTTTTTGCATGCTCACACAAGAACACAACACAAGGGGGCAGAATATTATGAGTATTGGATGTGGCCGTAAGTCTGTAGATTGAATGATGAGAAGAAACAAAGTTTATGAACAAAGAAACATAAACCATACAGTCTTTATGTTATATTTTGAGAAGGCATAAACATGGAAGTGCTTACCAGAGCGGTCTCTGATCACCAGGTTCCTTCCTTCCTTTAAGTTGATGGTGAGGAGGTACTGGACATTCTGGGACTGACAATATAATAATCAAACATTGCTTAATATCATTATTATAATATTAAGTTCAATGTGTTGTCAGACAGTTTGAATATTGTGAATAGTTTGAATATAGCTTGATGTCAGTTTTTTATGGAAGCAGCAATGCATTTGTGGAACTGCACTATCACTGAATTATCACCACTAATAATGTGTTTAAGGTTAAATGGGACTGTTTTGGTTAACTTATGTACAATTAAATTCTGAAAGGCTGAATTCTATAACTTCAGGTTTCACAGTGTTGTGTATATTTATGGTTAAAATACTGATAACATAATAAATATGATATAAATATGTCAAAAGCAATAATGCAGCTCCACAACACCACCTTAGCCTCTAACCATGTTGTAAATCGACACAGCGCAGCAGTTTGTGAGTAGGTGTGAGCATACATTTAGACTGTACATGCTGTACTAAAAGTTCTGTACATTTAGAGTTTAAATGGTTAAGACCTTATTTTAGATGTTAGAAACATACGGTAGTATGCAAAAGTTTAAACACCCCTGGTCAAATTACATGTTTTGTTGAGTGAAAATAAGTTAATACATCACCCACAGAGGACACATTTAAATATGACATTTTTCTGCAGATTTTAGAGCACAGTTTGTAGTTATTTGCTGAGTTTAACATATTGGGAAAAAAATAATACATGAAATACAAAATGTTTCATAACTTTCGCACAGATCACATTTTATGTTTTATTTTTCCCCAATATGTTAAATTCAGCAAGTAAACGGTAAGTGTGCATTAAAATGTGCAGAAGTGTATTCTCTGTAGAGCAAGCGTGTCAGGTGAAAGTGTTGCAGAGATCAGCATTTACCCTCATCTAACGCTCTGAATGTAGTTCATGAAGGCCTTGCTAATTAGCCGAAGAACTGAATCAGCTATGTTTAATGAAGTCTGCAGTGTTTTGGCCTGCAAGGACTGGAGTCTGACATGTGCTGTAGAGTAGTGTTTCTTAGTCCTGGAGGCTCACTGCCTTGCACTTTTTAGTGTTTTCCCTGCTCTCAACACACCTAATCCAACTAATCAGCTTATTAACAGCCCATTATTGAGTAAAGCAGGAAAAGTACTAAAATGTGCAGAGCAGTGGGCCTCCAGGACCAGGGTTCAGAAACACTGCTGTAGAGAATGTGTTAACTTATTTTCACTTAGAAAATCAAGAAAACATGTATTTTTTGCATAAGTGTGTGTTAAATTAGAGCAATAATAAGAGATAACTGAAATGTGGAGTACATCATTTGCCCAGAAGTATGCAGATTTCCCTTCTAATTAGGTATTTCATATATTTTATAGTGCACACACTGCTGACACAGGCATTCAGCTGTGCACAAATAATCTCCATAGAAAACTCTGTAGTGGCCGTATATAAGCCTAACTTCAACATGCCCATTGTGGCTGGAGGGGTATAAGCTCCCCAGCATTTGGCTGAGGAGTAGTGAAACTGCATTCTCTGGAATGATGACGCACCATCCAACCTTGATTTTAGAAGAAACATTGAAAGAGCAGGTGTCTACAAACATTTGGACACAGTGTATAATCCTATACATTAATTTGCTTCAGAGGTTAAAGTTCATGACACAATCTATGAATTTTCACCTTTGATCATTTTCATTTATAAACAAGCAGACTGACAGCATTTGGAGTTTGTGCTATTTAATAAAATTATATATAAAATTAAAATATATAAATTAAAAGACAGAATTGACCACTTTTCCCTCTGCTTTAAAGGGTTAAACAGATAAAGAGTTTACACCTGTGGCAAGGGGCCATCAGTTTCTGCTGTGTGAAGAGCACTTATGAATCAACTTTCTGCTTTTCAAATCATCAAATCATCAGTGTGATCATATGAACAATGCTAATCCTAGTGCACCACTGTGAGGCTGTAATATAAGATATAATACTTAATACATTAGAGGGTGGACTGTATATTACTCACCTTATTTTCTCCTCCAGAGACAATGGTGTCAAAGTCACTGCTCTCACTTATAACCTGACACAGCAAAGATTGGGTTGACATGAATAGTAGTGGTGAACAACAGTGGTTTCTAATATGAGATCTACACTGAGGTGTCAGTTTATTAAGTGTACCTACACTGTTTGGCCATTCATCAGGTACACCTATTGTATAGGTGAACACATACAATTGTTGACTGTAGCCTTCACCAGTAGTCAGTTTATGACCACAGGACCACTGTTGGCTATATATTTTGACTGTACTCAAACCAGCAGTGACACTGAGGTGTTTAAAAATCTCAGCAACACCGTTATGCCCGATATACTTGTACCAGTGCAACACACGCTACTTTGCCTCTACTGTTTCAACACTGCTATGCTGAGAATGGTCCATCATCCAAATAGTATCTGAAAAACAGTGACCATGTGGTGGTCTCTTCCCAGTAATGGACCAGGTGGCTGACGAACTGTGCCCCGCAATAGGCTGGACTGAAGTCAAGTATATTTATGTACTTGATAAAATGGCCATTGAGTGTAGGTAAAAGGTAGTTGTACCTAATCTGCTAGCTCAGTATATATTATGCTACTAACGTCATCCAGGTCCTCAGCTGATCCGGTAATGCACATTTCTGTGGATCCTGGTGTAATAAAGTCTGTTGTGAGCTCCTGACCCCAAATTACAGAGCGATCCTCAGATGGTGTGCTGCAAGCAGACTCATTGTCTGGGTCTTCTAGGTACCATCTAGTTCTTCTGCCCCCTTCTTCTGTTCTCTTATCAGGCCTATTGTTGGTGATGGCCATAACAGCTGGTTTCTGTGGTGCTGAAAGGACATCAGATGCAGAATGCATATTTGAGGCTGGTATGTCTGGGAAAGTAAACTGGTCCACAACCTTAGTTGCAGATGGTGTGGATGAGGCAGTAAGTTGGTCTGGGAGCTTGGCTGCATATGGTGGGGATGAGGCAATAAGTTGGTTGGGGAGCTTGGCTGCATATGGTGGGCATGAGGCAATAAGTTGGTTGGGGAGCTTGGCTGCATATGGTGGGGATGAGGCAGTAAGTTGGTCAAGGTGCTTGGCTGCAGATGCTGTGGATGAGACAGTGGGTTGGTCAGTTGCTGAGTCTGGAGAAGTGGGTTGGTCCAGGGACTGGTGTAAAGATGCTGTGTCAGAAGCACTGTGCTGGTCTACAGACTTGGTTGAGGATGATATGTCTAGGAACAGGTCTTTAGACCTGGCTGAAAATGGTCCATCTGTGACAGCGAGGTTATCAGAGTAAGCCAAGCTGGAGGTTTCACTCTCTGTTTCATCTTGGTCAATGAAGGAGGCGGAGTCAGAGTCTGGAGACTCGACAACATTGTTTAGCATAGGTGGCACGGACTGACCACATCTCAGGTCAGGTACTGAGATACTCCTTCTGTATTTTAGAGGAGTCTTCTTGGCCTTCTTTCCTATTTTCACATTAAACAGCTTGGTTCTATCTCGCAGTTTGGTAAAAACATTCTTCTTCGGTTCCATTCCGACAGCAGAGAAGTCTTTCTTTCTTCGATTTCTTAATGAAGACAAAAAGACAAGCTCAAACGCAGGCACAGTTAGTTCAGTTATATCAGAGAAGTGAGGTACAAACAAATCATATCACCTAACATAGTGTCATTGTCATAGAAAAACCTCATACCCCTGTAACAGTAACTTTATAGAGGGAGGATAACTTTAAATTTAAAGGAATGGTTTGACAAAAAATCTATTTTACACACTCTAACACTGATGTGTTAAATAACAACAAACCTACATCTGTTACCCATTTCTAAGAGACTTTATCTGGTGTTTCAAAACATTTTGTGTTAAAGTAACACAAAATGTGTTGCCCTTAACTGAACACACCATTGTGTCTGGTTAAGGACAGAATGTGATGTGTTCAAAAAAATGGTCCAGCGAATAATCCAGCAGTTTAAGAGTAACATTTCTCAATAAGTGTTTGCAAGGATTTTGGGTATTTCACCCTCTACAGTACATAACATCCAATGACGTCTGGAGAAATCTCTATGCATAAATGGTATGGGGGTGTATTACTGCCCATGGAATGGGTAACTTGCATATGTGTGATGGGACCATTAACACTGAAAGATAAATACATTTTGGAGCAATACATGCTGCTTTTGCGATGTCTTTCTCAGGGACACCATGGTTATTTCAACATGACAAAGGCAAGGTACATTGTGCACGAGTTACGAGTTAGCATGGCTATGTAATCAGAGAATGTGGGTGTTAGACTGGCCTCCCTGCAGTCCAGACTTATTTCCCTATGAAAATGCGCCAAATTATGAAACTTAAAAAACCACAACAACAGCCCTGTATTGTTGCGCAGCTGAAGATTTGTATAATGGAAGAATGGCAAAAAATATCAGCTTTAAAAACTAAATCATTTGTTTTTTTCAGTCCCCAAATGACTATTAAGTGTTGTACACATTTTAAATATGAGATCTTTTGATATGACAGCAATGGTATGCTGATAGATCACATCATTTCTTTTCCAAGGTACTACTTCACAATGGTAAAAGCCTCTGACAGGGAAGTGTGACTGGGCAAAACGCTGTAGTGTCACTGCTGAGGATATTTCATGTATGAGCAAATGCCTCATCAGAGCCACAGTTAAACAGGTTAAATGATTAAATGACTAAAATGCATTTATAAGCACTTAGTAACACCCATTTAGCTTTGCTGTGTGTCAAAACTGTTCAGTACATGAAATAATTCATTACCAAATCTGGCACCTGATTACATCAAATATATCCTGTCATATCACATTTTAGTTTGCGATAGCCAATGTTGATGTCTGCTGTAGACTTGCAAATACCTACGTGTTCTTCCTGCTTTCACTCTGAGGAATGATGAAAATGTAACATAAGGGACATCTCCATTGCTTTTATCACTTGGTGGAGGTAAACAGGCCACACTGGTTGTGTTACTGTCTGTGGGCCTGACAGAGTCAAAGCATTCTTGCAGTGAGTGTACTAGAAAGGCCTACACCTTTGTCTTGCATTAAGGTGGTACCAAAACAGGGATGGGCAGTAAAAACATAAGAAGTGCCAGCAAGGGAAAGCAATTTTAACAGTTCACTAAGTTCTATAAATAATCATATGATTGATGAAAGTATAAGAAATTCTGTTTTTTGCCCCACATCAGCTTACATAAGCCAGTCATGTGATCCTAATGTGTCAGGGACATGGTTAAAGTGTCAAATGCAACATGTGCAGCAATATGTGCTGTGTATATATCACGTTTCTGAGTGTGGAGTTTCTGACAAAAAGCTCTTCACACTTTTTCTTCTGTGGTGGGACTGTGACTGTGGGCTCAGAACTTGTCTTACTAGTCAGTGTAGGTTGTTTTACATTAAGGCTAAGCTTTTTATGACAACATTTAATCAGATGTATGCAGAGTATGAAGTGCTTTTCAAATGAATATTGAATATTAATGTCTGCATTACTCACTTGGATTCACAGGCAGCCCATATAAGTAACCTATTAAGTGAGTGTTTTTCCACAAAGTAAAACTATCAACTTTGTTGAATTTAGAAAGCGTTCAAATGAGGATTCATAATTTAATCACTGTTTAATCATATCTACAGAAAGTTGCCTAATGATGCAGACAGTGGTGTAATCCTGAGTAAAAAAGGGGGTATAAAAGTTGTCTGTATCTGTGTCTAATGTTTTTAGATAATGAAATTGTGAAACTGAAATATTGAAACATAATTATTAATTAGTTATACTTACAGGTTTACTGTAAGTATAACTTTTCAACACTGATTTAGTATTGCAGTGACAGTGAGTCAGAGACCCTCACTCACATAAACAACTTCTGTGTTATTTGGCTCTTTTTCTTTTAAAATGTTATTTTTTAAGTATTTTTTTAGTAATAACCCAGATAGCAAGAGGATAGCGGCCCACTGGCTTTCTGCTCAGTATCTTTCGGGCAGCCCACTGGTGGTTAAGCAAGAGTGTTAGACAAAATGCCACTTTTAGTTGCTCATTTTCCACGCACAGTCCAATTTACTTATTTTCCTTCACTTCTTTCTTTAGTCATCCCTTGTAAATTAGTTTAGTAAATAATTTTAACAGCAATATCATAAATAAAGCTGGTTATACAGCTGTAACCAATCTAACACAGTGTCAGCAACATTTTAAACAACATCATTTTACATTAGACCTAGTCATTAATTTTTTCTTCTCTGAGTAGTTTGTAATATTATCTTAGCTTATTTTCCACAAGAAAAGGCTTTGTGCATTTAAAAACTGTTTGAGGAGATTAAAAACTAGTCAAACCTATTGCAGGACAATAATCTTTGTGGTCCAAGGGTGGACCAGCAGTGGCAAACAGTCAGCTGGGTGCCAACTTTATCAAGTCAACAGACCAATATATGCTTGTTGTCTGTGAACATATAGGCAAAACTTTTTTTAGTAAAACATAAAATACTACTATACCACACAGTATACCTGGTCCACCTAATTACTGCCTTGATTGGCTGAAAGAGGTGTGTTAGGGTTGTGCTGGAGGTGAAAGATACAGGAAGGTAGATCTCCAGGAGGAGGGTTGGTGCCCACTGATGTATAGTGTAATATGTGGTTTGAGACGCAGTCATAGTGTCACGTTATAAAAAGAAAAAGAAACACGTCCTCTAACATTCAGTTTTCTCTGCAACCCAAATCTAACACATAAGAGATAATAGAGCAAAAAACAGGCGGTGGGACACGGACATTTAGAGGTCACCAGTGTAAATAACTTCTTTTGCCTGAGTACAGGGATAGCAGCAGTGAGCGCTGTATGTAAAAACAGACGCTATTTCAGTTTCTCCATGTTAGCTTGTAACGTGCGAAGCAAACAAGTTGCTAGCTGACGCTGTTTTTGGCCCTCGCGTTATAACGTTACTCTGGCCCCCAAAAGACGAAAAGTTTGGGCTACTCTAGACCGTCACAAAAGTAACGTAAAGTCATACATTTTCCGTGTATTTAGTTGTCTGAAAAGCGGGGAAACCCGCACATAGCTGCGTGAAATAATCCAAAGAGCGTTAACCTGAATATCTTAAGTTCGTGTGGAAACTGAGGAGCTTTTGGTGCCTTCAGGCTTCAACCTCAAGGCTGTCGCAAAAGAAGTGCCACACTGAGTAAAAGTACTAAAGTGTTAAACAAACCGAGGGCTGTCAATATCTACAACTTTTCGGATACTGCTTTGACTTTTAACTTGAGTTTTCTAACCTAAGCTAAACTGCCTAGGTTAAGTGCTTTGTGAAATACCCACCTCTAAACCACCTGTCGACAGGTGAACGCATCTGACCTTCCTCTGAAACCCATTAGCCTTAATGATATATAATAATAACTATAATAATATGTGAGTAGGTCTTACCTATTCCCAGGTAAAAGCACTAACTGATGGGACTCCTTATGTCAGACATGAGAGACAAACGCGCTCCCTGTTCTCCTGCTTCAGCTTGTCTCAAGTGTTCTCTGCCTCATTTAGCCGGTTTGTTTTGTGTGTGAGGGGCGTGGCTTCTGCACGTCATCCAGAACTACAGCGTGGATGACTTTTCAACTCTGTGTTTGGTTGAAGATTAATGCTAAAGTTGGAATACACATCAAACAAACTCTCATTTAAGACTTTAGTTAGGTCAATTCATTACCTGAGAATTAAACAAAATATTCTGTGTACTTATAAGTATTTAGTTCAGTATGAACAGGCCACTTATTCACTTCACATTCACTTGTAAAACCAACCTGTAAAGATATCCAAGTCAAAGGAGTAATGAGGTGCAGTAAGATGTGCATTAGGAATCATGTCTCCCTCTGCTGGTTGTATACTTCAACTGCAGGTACCTGTAAGAACAGCCAACTAGAGCGTGGTTTTCGAGTCAGGGACCCTCTGTTCTGCATATAGTTTCCACACCTGATCCAGCTTATCGGCTAATTAACCCTCGAAGAGCTGGAGCAGATGCGCTGGGGGCAGAGAATACCTGAAACCCACTTGGCTAGACAAACATAACAGCCAATAACGATCTTAACGTAGCTAACGGGCTGTCATGCTCCTTAACATAAGATACGTTGTATCGCAACATACATCGAGTTGTGATACACTTGTTTTGTCACCATTTGTTTGGCATCATTAGTTACAGGTTGTTTCTGCCTCCACAGTTCATGAACAATCTGTCCTCAACCTGCAGGCAAGTAGTATTAAGAACATGTTCTCTGTGAAGCCTGAGTCAAAGACAGAAAAAACAGAACTGCAGTGAGAGTCGTTTCTGCTTCTATCAGCAGTTTTGTTAGGCTCTATTCTTATATTTGTAAGATAGTTTTGGTCTGAAAAGAAACTGCTATATTTGGAAAGTAAGAGGTATGATCAACTGCAAAGCAGTACAATAGAACAGAATCTAATAAATTAGCGACTTAATGTGAATAACTACAGTAGAACTGAGTGAAAAGTAGATTCGTTTTCTCACAAATATACAAAACTTTACTTGTAACTAGTCATGGTCCACCTCCGGATTAATCTCGAGTAGATGGGCAGTGTACCATACTGACAGGAACTTATTTAGCTAGCATTAGCTTTCAGCATATTAGCTGTGATGATTGTCACATTTTACATAAAAGCTTTGTCCAGTTTTCAGTAGCCCCGCAGCTTTTATCTCACTATAGCAAAAAAATAAAAAGAAGATGAAAATGGCAAGATTGGAGAAACAATACTTAGCTGACCTAATTTGAACACAGGTGCTCAGCTATTCGCTAGGAATACGTTATTAGCAATTTTCACATATGGTGAGTGGATTGTAGATTTTTTTTCTTCTGTTTTGGAACAAGGCAGTGTTGCGTCTGTGTGTTTTAATTACATATGTATATAACCTAATACCTTTTATACCCTTGTAACATTTCTACTCTGTGAATCAAATTAGTTGACCAACTACCTCAGAAGTCCACCTCTCCAATCTGCTGCCCACATCTGATCCTGGATCTGATCCAGTCAACTTCATGTAGTATGTATGGAGTCGTGGTACTTTTCATCAACTTTTAAATGAATACTGTGGTTTCTGGAATACATGCTGTTTAGAAAGGAAGTCAAAGCAGCTTATGTGTATGTAATAAGTATGTATGTGTTACAAGTTTGACAGTGTATTGTCATCTTTGAACAGTTAGCATGTATGTAGTATGAAACTGGTGAAATGCAGACCAGTCAAGTGATAAACAATTACGAGCAGACAGCGTGGGATGCAGGTTTCTTTCAAACAAAAACTGTTTCCTTGTAGATAAAGAAGTGAAACATTGTGCAATAGACCGTGATATTATCTTCTTCTGCAAAGTTATTTGCCCATTAAGCCAGGTTATGTTTGTCATCACTGGCTTTGGTTCATTTTTTTCAAGTTACATGATCAGCTTTGTGGATTTGAGCACACTTTTGGTTGAGATGATCAAATTAGATTCTTTCAGCCAGGTGCTCTGATGCCACCAGGTGTTCAGCTTTACAGCAAGTTTCACCTTTTCCTCAAAGGAAGTTTTTTGATGCTATCTAATGCTGGCACATTAAACAGGTCTGGCTGTTCCTGCTTTTGGTTTCTAGAATGTGTTAAACATCACATTTCCTTTGTAGAAACTTCCAAGATTGCTTTTATTGGTGTTAGTATTAAAGGTATTTGTAAATATATACCACTTTAGGTTCATTCATCACACATCTAAAGTAAATAGGAATATTTACAAGATCAGGCGTAATTGCTTGTGACTCATGTCCAACAAGTGGTCTCCCTGGTTTCCCTGCTAATATGTGTTTTCAGGCATGGCACCAACAGCTAACCTCGTGAATTTTAGATGTTATGTGTCCAGCCAAAATCCAGTAGTCTTCACTCATTTTTGTACAGCGTCATCATTATTGAGGTGTTTCATGAGATGCTGTAAATTGTAAATGGTTCCTTAGACAAACCAGTTGGACTGTAAGTTTCTCAGTGCAGCAAGAGGAAGGCAAGTAGAGTTAGCATTTGAGGGTACATTGAGGTTTTTAATAAAGCGGACAGTTTCTAATATTCGGGACTTCACAGGTGGACAAAGTCTGCTCAGTTTCAGAGAGCTGTTCACTTCAGTTTGTACAGAATAAGCAAGAGAACCTATGTTACACAGTAAAAGCCAATATCTTTACTTATGTGAATGCAGAATACAAATTTGTACAACAATCTCTAGCATAATATCTTAGTCATTCAATAAAAAGTTCACTAGAATATTTATTGTATAATGAAGATAAAACAACACATTCAAGGGAAATATAATGCAGATTAACTTAAAGTTTTTTTTCTCTTGACTTTCTTTTTTTTTCTTTTATCTGAAACATTTAATTTCATTCATGGCAACAAAGTCCAGCTTGTGCCGCCAAACGGTTTGAGCACTCAAACCGCAAACAGCTTCTTGAAGTGAACTAGGAACTACAAACAATTACCAAATACATAGTTCTGTTTTTAGAAAAGCCATAAAGCAAAGCAGTGTACTCTTGCACAGCAAAGTGAAGAAAAGTTCTCTACAAAGAATCGTTTTTCTTCCCTAAACCCTTCATTTCACATTCAGTACATTTTGTGGATGTCATAAGCGACGCTCGGATCAAAACGAGTGACTCCCTCCCTTTAGATTTACTAAGTATTTATTGGGTGTGTTCGCTGGGGGCTGATCGACAAGAGGTGACTATGGCCAAACTTTGATGATAAGCTTTTTTTTTCTTTTTTTTTCATTGGGGATGAAATTGATGTTGATGAGAAATTTCAAGCTCGATTTAGAACACCAACTACTCTTTGGAATAAGGCTCTAACTGTGCACAAGAGAGAAACTCTAGAAATTCCCTGATTTCTAATCATGAGCTAGTGTGTGTGTGTGTGTGCATGTCTGTGTGTGTGTGCATTGTGTGTTTGTGTGTGCATTGCAGTTTGAGTGCCCTGCATGTGATTACTCCACCCTGCAGCGCACTGCAATAGCATTATTGCATTATTGCTTGTCTACCCTGAAAGGCGTTGATTGTGATTATACATTTGTGATGGACATCATAAAAATATGGATTTCTAATGAACTTCTGAACTTCTCCTTTCAGTCACACTTGTTCATACATTGAGTGATTGAGACTTGGAGGCAGTAGCTAGCGAAAGCTAGAAAGCAAAGGGCTTATATTAAGGTGATTCAGAGTCAAAATGGCTTTCTGTTGTACTTACAGTGGAGCCAATACAAACGTGGGCCTACTTTAGATGCAAGCACTTAAGGGTTTGCGGTTAACAGTCATTTTCTCAACAGGCTCAAATACAGAGCATGTTGTTTGTATGCTAGGCAACATTATAAATGGGCATGGGACTATATCCTATCCAATGTATGATTTTTAAATTCTTTTTTTCCCCCTCAGTGGTCCTATCAGTGTGGACGCTGTGGTGTGGAGCCTTCTCAGTGCTGGGCTGTGTGTTGCTTAAGAGACTGCATAGATCAACAGGTGCTTATTGCCAGCTGCTATGGTGCCTGTGAGGGCAGGGAGGTATCTAAAATGCAATGAGAACACCCAAAGAGAGGAGGCTGGGAAATAGATAGCAAATGTAAAGAGAGGGAGCCTCTTTTTTATATTTTTTTCCCCCTGACGATGAACCCAACCATACGAACGACGTGTGCAATCCAGCAGAGAGATGGGTTTGCATTGTCTAGCGTTTGAGCTGTCTTTTTGCTGCTGAATTCCCCTGACACTCTGCCACCTCGAGGAGTGCGGAGAGGGCAGTGAGGCGTGAGCCGGACGCTGCTGCTGCTGTTGCGGACGAAAGAAGAAGCGCAGACGTAGAGCCTCGGCATGGTGGAAGGGTGTATATATGCAGAACGGAGAGCCAACACGCACACACATACGACGGTACACCCCCGTCATGGTATCCAGCACTAACAGAGCTATCGGATGCCTCAGAAATCGGATATTTCCTCCGAGTCGATTCACCAAACAAAAATGGGAAAGAAAACAGGTGTGTTCTGTACATAGTATGTATGTATAAGGTTTCAACAGGGTTATAATATTTACAGTACATGGGTAATAATGTGGAGCATTAAGTGCCTTTGAAGAGGGGTTTGATTGAAAGGAGGGTGTGAGTGTTAATCCAATTCTAAAAAATGAAGCCCAATTAAAAAAAAATCTCCACAACTTGTTTCTGAGGAGAAACAAGATTGGGGTTTGAATGGATAAAGCCTGAAATGGGTCCTTGGTCTTTAGGCAGTGTGTTCAGCAGCTGTTGGCTCAACCCCTCCCATGATGGGTACAGAAAAGAAAAAAGAAAAAAAAAATGCTTTCCTTAATGTGACAATTTACCTTTTGCTAAAAAAAAGAAAAAAAAGAGACAGTGGGATTTCAAACTTACAGCACTGTTGTTACAATTTCTTGAGGACAGACATTCACCATCATTAAAGGGAAAACGACCCAAAAAAAGGAAATAAAATGACCTTCTTTCAAATTAAAACACTTTGATTATTATTAGCAATAATAAGTCAGATTTGAAGAAAGTACAGTATAGTTAACAAAATAGTAAATATTAACCAGTGAATACTCTACTTAATAAGGATCTCGCCTTGTAAACCTGGCAGTAATCCACAAAAATATACTTTTTTTTTCTTCAATCTGGTGAAGGTACAATACATACGTACTTACACCGAAGGTGATATATATTAAAGTTGCTATATACATAACAAAAGAAAAAAAAAGTTTGGCTCAAATCTTTAATTTACAAACAGAACAGCAAGTGTTCATGGCTTTAGATATTGTTTCAAGATCTGGTTTGCATGTGTATATATTTTTTTTCATAGTTTGTAACGAAGTACAATATGACAGAACTGGGATGAAATGGATAGTTAGAGAGAAATGAGGATTTCCAAACCTACAACAAAACAGGAATCAACATACAGGCTTTGGCTTATTTTACCATTGAATTGTTTGAGCTGCATTAAATTGAGGACTCCTGTCTCCAGTTCCACTGGGCTAACCTTTACCTTATTTTACTATCTTAAAAAATTGTGTATCAGTAATACACTGTACATTTCATGGTTTGTGTCTGAACAAGAAAATAACACTAAAGTTTTAGTGAATTGTCTTTCCTATGACAACAGCTACTATCCTAATAATTTTTGAAGAGATGTGATCTCATTTTAGACATGTACTTCCCTTTGTAAACCAAAAGCTTTTACATGGTCACTCTTGAATAAGTTAACATGTGACTTTTACTTTCTAAGTGTTTGTGAAGTCAAGAGGCCAGTGGGCAAGAGCCTTCTGAAAGAAAGCAGGCCCTTAAACTTGCTCTGGTTGTTTTAAACCTGCAAATTCAACAGCAAAAACAGCTACTACAAGTGCCAGACCGGACCAGTGACTACAATAACCTAAAACATCTCAATTCACGTCTTTTTTTTTCCTTAAACATTGAACTCTCGCAAAATCCGCAATGCATCAAGTACCTGATAACGCCTGTTCTGAGTAATCAAAGCAGTCCGAGTAAACGACTCATTCTCTCTCTCTCCCTGCTTAGTTGCACCACTTAATTTCGATATGTCAGGACATCTTTAAATTTCCTTCAGCACCCCACCTCCTTCCGAAACAAACAAAAAAATGAAGTTAAATAATAATAGAATAATAACAATGAGGACCCTCCCTGCTCTGGCCTCTCGCTCTCTCGCCCTGTGTGGCCTGTCTGCCGGGTGGCTGACCGGAGCTCGGGCCGCACGGGCTATTTTTATGTGACCCAGGTGTCCATGCGCATGCGCTTGACAGAGGGACTTTGGCGCTCCTCGCCTCCAGGGGCGGGAGGCCTTCCCAGGCCAAGCGGGGGCGAGTGGAAGTCGGGCCGGTGGTCTTCACGGTCGCTGCCGTCGTATGAAGAGCAGGAGGAGCTGAGGCTGTCCACGGGCGAGCGGCCCATGTCCGGCCGGCCGGCAGGTGGTTGAGGCTGCTGCTGAGGGGGGAAGCCTGATGGGGTGACGCGCTCACGAGGTGGTGAGATGGGCTCCGATTTGACGTTGATATTGTGGCTGGTGTTGATGGAGAGGGTGGAGCCCTGAGGTACGTGACCACCACCCCTGAGCAGAAAGAAGAGAAACATTATATACTTATTATTCACACAGGAAAGGTTTTGTGGACATACTGCATGCCTGTGAAGTAATGTTACACTTGTAATGTTTATGACAGATTGATATGGGTTTACACCAAGATTTCTCCGGATTCTTTGAATCTTTTGATGATATGCACCATAAAGGGTGAAATACCTAAAATCCTTTCAATTACTTGTTGAGGAACATTGTTCCAAAACTGATGGATTATTCTTTGATTCTCTGTTTTTTGGCAAAGTGGTAAGCCTTGAACCATCTTTGCTAATAAAAGACTATAAAAGGATTTGTTTTATACTCAATCCTGATTTAGTCCATGGTTTAGGATATTTTTTAACAGTTCCTAGCCTTAAATTACCCAAAGTTTTTTCAAACATGTTGCAAGCATCAATTTCAGAATGAGCATATATTTTAAAAACAATGAGGTTGATAGAGTAAACATTAAGGTAGGCCAATCAATATTATCAACTTCATTTGGGCTGCAGAGAACAGAAGTGCATGCCTGCTTAGAATATAACCTGGGATAACTTCTGCAGTTCATTTTATAGTATAGATAGAAGCCACCATAGTTTTACCTTTGAACATGCAATTTGTAAGAAGTTATTGACATGATAATTAGAGACTAAAATCACAGATCTCGTCATTTTAATCTAATCATATTCAAATGACTTAAATTTTTGTTACAAATTATGTTTAAATATAGCAGTAACTCTAGACCTTAATAGGTGTTTTCACACATATCTTGTTAAGTGCGGACCAATCAAACTTTTCCTTTGTTTGGTCTATTTTGTCCACCCATACACAGGTGTGCACCAAACTATAGTGCTGTGCCAAAATCATGAGTCTTGGGCCGCTTCAAAGTAAAACCTGGTTCGGTCCCTGCTGGAGGGAGGGCATTTTTCACAGTGGTCCATATCAAACAAGGAAATTCAATAATGGCAGGCGAGCACTAAAATAATAGTGCTACATTTGATTTTGTCACGAGGACCACGAGGCCAGGCGTTCTAAAAGGTAGGATTACACATTTTATCAAAGATATATGTGAAGGATAGATCTGGATTTTAGTCATTAGAATAAAAAATAATTTGCAATAATTTTGGCACCAATGAGGCAACTGTAAAGTAACAGTATCCACTCCAAATTCCTGACCAATCAAAGAACACTATAATTATACATAATTTAATTTTATATATATTATATATAGTTTGGTGCACTTAAATTGTTGCAAAATAAAATCAACCAAACCAAATGGAAATGATACAAAGTCACAAAAACTGGTGCTTTAGCAAACAAACTAGGTGTGAAAACAGCCTAAAGGTTAAGTACTGCAAGACAAAAACAGAGATACACATGCACGTAAACACTTAGACTTCAGAGAGAGAACAGTGTATGCACACGCATGTACACTTTTAAATGAGATCATGGTGTGAATTGTGTGCAGCTACTTTAGTTGTGAGTGTGAGTGTGTGACCTTATGCCAGCTTGTAGGCATGTGTGTGTATCGTGTTCCTGCATGTGCGTAAGCGTGTATTGTCTGAGTTACTCACACCAGCGAGCTGAGAGCTGCCTGGCCCAGTTGATGCTGTTGCCATGCCGACATGGAGCCCAGTGAGAGCCCTGGAGAACCGAAGCCTTGCAGAGAGGAGAGCTCAGCGCTGCTCAGGGAATATTCTGGAACAACAACAACAACGGGCTGCCAGTGAGCGCCACTAACACCTCCACACCTCAGGAGAACAGCAGGTTGTGGGAAATGACCATGTACGCGTGTGTTAGAGCGTGTGTTGTACTCGAAGTGTTAGTTCATGTATATTTGATAGATTCCAGGCAAATTTTTCAGTAAGCGATGAATTAAGGATGAGCCCAAATGTCAGTGTGTAAAACATGTGTCTGTGTGGCGGATGAGCATTTGCATGTGTTTGTGTTTGGTTTTGTACATTTTTAGTGCAAAAATGCTTTTTCTTTGTGGGAAAACAGGGCTAACATTCAATGTAAAGACCAACAAAATGCTCCTGACTTTGTAAAGAGCTTTTTACAGAAGTTGTTTCATTTGTTTGAAAAAGAAACGGCAGAGCCTTTACATTTTGCTTACTGAGGTTAAGGTTAGGGTTAAGTTTAGGGTTTGGCTTAGAACAAAATTCATATTACATCTAGGTAATTACAGGTAATTATAGGTATACACATATACCTATATACTGTACCATGCAAAAGTCAGAGACCCTTTGTTCTTATTCCAGCTTCTGTTCTTTTCAGCAGACTTGGTTTCTGTTCTTCAAAGAAATCCACAGGTGTTTTTCCCGTATTCTAGTACACCTCCCAAATCCCATCTTAGAGGTTGGTTGCATTTTCTGCTTCTCACATTCCAAGTAATCTCAATTACAAATGTAGACTGTTCAGTCCATAAAACCTCACTCCACATCTCAGGGGTCCAGTATCTATGTTCTACTGCAAAGATTTTTACGGTACTGGCTTCTGGACGGCTACACATCCTTTCAGACCTATAGTGTTGTTGTCTTCTCACAGTGGAATTATGATCAGAGACACCTGTGAATTTATTTCAGAGGGGGTTGATTTTCTCCTCTCTCTCAAAGATGAAATACTGTTTATCTGGTGGTGTTAGTTTTGGTGGTCTACCAGGTCTTGCACGGCTGTTAGTTACACTATTTTCTCTGTACATTTGAATACGTTTTTGAACTCCAAATTTGGAAACTTGTGTTTTTTCATGCTATTTTTCCCTTCCTAATGCAAGTGAATTATCTTGTCTCCCCAGAATTGTCCCCTGCAGAATGAATAACGTGTACTTAATGAGAGTTTTGCACAGTACTGTATGTATGGACATATGCATAACTCTACATCCTAAAACTGCTTAAAAACAACCCCCTGTGAGTGTGTGTGTGTTTGTGTGTGTGTGTGTGGTGTTTTCAACTCACCAGTGTTGTAGGCAGTAGGCATGCCTGAGTAGACCAGGCCTTGTGGTGGTAGACTCGGGGTGGTGACGGAAACCACGGGGGTGGCCAGAGGCTGAGTGGACTGGGAACTGCTTATTCTCTGGGTATTCTGCACACAGCACACCATAGCCAGATACAGTTAATGACATTAAGACACTTCTGTGTGTGTGTCTTCTGTCAGGCTCACACACACTGCTGCACTTTAGATAGAACAGGCCGGCTACATGCATCAGTGCATTTCAGTAGCATACCTGTTTTAAAATGAGTACTTGCATTGGCCATAATGCCCTAACTCTCTGTTCTCCATTAAGATTAAAATGTCTTCTTTATTGCTGTTTGGTGCTTGCACAGACCTGCGTCTAGACTAGATTTTTTTTACCATTATTATGTCATAGAGTGGATTTACTCCACTGAAACCCTATGCAGTGCTGTATACATATGAGTAGTTAACACATCCTATGTAGCAAAAACTTTAGGCCAATTTTGAAGTGGTTGCACTTCTACTTTTTAACCACAGTGGGGAGCTGTAGCTTCATGACAAGATTTATACTGATTTTATTGCTTTGAACAACATTGTTTACCAGCTGGCTTGTATTCAAAAGCACAAGAGAAGATCAAAGTGGTACAAATTAGGAGTTTGATCACAGAAGTGTTGTGATGTGGAGATATCATAAGGGGATACACTGGGATGTGACCATGGCCTGTTGATGGAGAAGCCCTGTGCTAAACAAGGTTCAGTGGCAGAGGGAGATGAGCTCTCACTGGCTTATGTTCAGGCTAACTACTGGATATCACCCACACAATATCACTATCAGGGTAGTTTATTCTCAGTACTAATGGTCCAAGCAGCCACACATTGGTAAACATGAAAGTCGTCCTCAGTAAGCACTTTCAACATGACTTTTTACTATGAAGATTCAAATTATTAGAAAACGTAGGACAGATTCCCTTAAAGGTGAACCTCAGAATACCTTGAAATTTCCCCAGGTATAGTGTCAAAACACAACACTTGTCCAGTATGTTTAAGGTAATGCAGTGACTTGTTGTGAATACATCTCAGTGTGGTGACAAGCATGCAGTGCAAGCATCCAGTCACTCTCGGCATGTGTTCATGCAAAGTGCACACACACAAAACACACAGTGGTTCTGCAACAGCAACTCAAACTAAACACTCCTTACAGTGGAATAAGGTCTGTAGTTTGCTTTAGCTGTGATGTTGAACTGCCGACAGAAACACATTTTCGCATAAAACTATTTTTTTTTAAAAAAGTGAACAACAGCTGTACTATTACAAACGCCATGAGCTGGATTCTTAAGCCTGTGTCTTATGAAAGAAAATCTTCTTAAATCTGCTTTTTTTCTGAACTGCATACTTGAGGAAAAAATTTTCTTCATTTCATTCTTAACATTTCTCTTAAAAACAATTGTACAAACAAGTGGTTTTCCTTAAAAAAAAAAAAGGATCTTAAATATTTTCTTAACCTTATGACAGTCTCACACTTGTATTAGGCTATAAGAACTGACAAGTTAAACCTCTTAAATTGTAACATCTAATAAGTTTCACAAAGTAGAATTCTTTCTGGTAATCTGTAAAATGTAACAGTATATTGAAAGTCTACATCACACATAGCCTATAGCCTACATTCAAAAACAAGGATGATATTCTTAAGAGAATAATTGATTTTTTAAGAGAATATTTGAGAACTTTGAGAAGCTTTTTACAAGAATTCCATTTAACTTCTTAGTATTTGTCTTAAAGACTTTATCCTTCATAGTTTTTTTTCTTATCAAAGGTTTTGTGTATCCCACCCCAGAAAGGTATATTCCACTTTAAAACCCATTATTCAACATTATGTCCATATGAAAGCTATAGTGGGATGTTGCTCCACAATTGACAAATGCTTTTGTTTGAAATGAGTTGGTGAATATGCATATTAAAGGCCTATGGGCGACTGCGAAGGAGCCAATGACATCTTTTCGTGGCTGAATTAGTTCATATCTTGCTATCGTTTTGCATAAACCTGAATTCTTCTCGGAGCAAAAACAAAGTCTAGTCATTTCATTTCTCGCTGTGGTTGGCCTCTCCCCTGAACAACATGACCTCATCCTGGCCTCTGCTCTATCTCACTATGACGTCATCCCGAATGAAGTAAGCAGACGCTAGAAAAGGAAGAAACTCTAAGAGGGACAAAAACTTGGACAGCTTCACGTAAATGTTGAAAATTATTGATGACTGGAGTGTCGGGGGATTTCTTTTTCTCTCCCTCTCCTTTTGAGTGCTCACACCCTCTCTCTCTCTCTCTCTCTCTCTCTCTCTCTCTCTCTCTCTCTCACTCACACACACACACACACACTTGCAAACTGGAGGAACTGAGACAGGCCGTCCAGACCTTAACCTACGCCAGACTAGAAAGCATGCAGTGTGAGTTCAACAAACCAAGTTCAAACCAGACTTCCTCTGCACACTTTATGCACTCGTTAACTCATCCAGAACTCAGCTCAGCCAAGCTTAGCCGGCCTCCAGCTCAAGCAAGTGCACCCGTGTTAATCGTGTGTTTTTTTTTTCCTGTGCTAACTTGTGGCTTTGCTAGCTTAAACAGTGAGGGTTGAAAACATTTTCGGTCATTCTCTGGTCCAGGCAAGCAGTGCAACTCACCAACTCCATCTCCTCCTCCTCCGACTGTTCCCAACAGAAAAAGAACAGAGGATGGTATCAGTATGGAGCCTGCGCGGTACACCTACGCTTTGCATCGTGACTTACTGTAGAAGGCATGGTCCAGCTATTAGGGATGGGCAGATCGAGTGGTATCAATACTTCCGATCCTGATGTTGCCTTCTGAAAATTGATTTTTTAATTTACATTGCAATATATGTATTGATGTTTTCTTTCAGCAGTAATCTGAATAGAAACAGTACTGTGCAGAAGTCAGAGACCACCCTTCATTTATTTAAGTTCCAACCAAACGACCATTAAGTAAAAGTTATTCATGTTTCAGGAGATTAGCTATAAGATAATCCATTTTCATAAGGAAGGGGAAAGTTAAGGAAAAATAAGTGAGAAAAAAAAATCCAAAACTGGAGTTTAAAAAATTATTAAAAGATATAAAGAAAATGAGACTCAGAACAACCATGCAAGACCTAGCAGACCATCAAAACTGTCACCATCAGATAAACAGCTTTTAAAACTTTCATCTTTGAGAGAGAGGAGAAAATCAAGCTCCAATCTTGCTTCAGATCTTAAAAAAATCCACAAGTGTTTACCAAAAGACGATGTGCAAATCAAATAAACTACACGTGTTCTGAGGACAATGGACTGTCCACCCCAGAGCACAGACCTCAACATCACTGAACCTGTTTGGGATTACTGTTTAAGCAGAAAATGTGACCAACTTCTAAGACTAAACTTTTGAGGTGTGAAAAATTATCCCTGCAGATTTCTTTGAGAAACTGAAAGCAAGTGTTCTAAAAAGAATGGAAACTGTAGTAAAGACTAAAAGTGAACCCACTAAATACTCAAAAAAATGATAATATATTGAGTTGTTGAGGCCTGTAATTTTCTGTTAGATGCATGTTTTCTTTGCTGTTTTCCTGACACTGAAAAATTAATAACTTGTACTTAAAGACTGTTGTGACTGTAAATTAAATAAATGAAACGGTGGTCTCTGACAATTGCACAGTACTGTAACTTTTAATTAAATTTAATGTGTTTAATGCTGAAAAAGTGAAAAAAATACTGTATCAAATAATTGTGTAGGAACTACACTCATACACACACACAGGAGTAGACAAAAGAGTAGATGGTGGGGAAGAGTGGAGTTGTTTTACTTCACTAAACAGTCTGTTTATTTGACTGTTTAATGTAAAGACTTTTAAATGTAAATTTTTCTTGTGTACTTTACTGGTTTTCACTGTATAAATCAAATGTTCACCATTTTTACACGCAATTAAAAGTACTGGTACTGGAATCTGCATATTAGCCTTGATGTTACTTGATATAGGATCAAAAAGACAGTCAGTGGTATTGCACATCTCTGGCAGCTATTCGAAAGCCACCCAGAGCATGTCTTTTAGACTAAACCTATTCAAATCCAGGGACTGGTGCGTAAAAACAAATGCTACTCAGGTTACTGCTAACGCATCCTTTAGTCAAATGAATTACGCTCTCCAGTCAAATTTGTTGCCACAACTTATTGCACGCTCCAGCTTGAGCTTGCTTTTGTGTATTGTCAACACAAACACTCAAGCCAACTGAAATAAAGCCCACAGAGCTCAGAGCTGGTTTAACACGAGGAGAGGATAAAAGAGTGTTGTAGCAGCATAGGTTTTTAAACACTCAAGGAAAGCTCTCTCAGGGACTTGACCTCGCTACTAAGAAGTGCTTAACCTTTCACGTCAGAGATTCGTCAATACATCAGACTTTGAGCCCAACAGCTCCATCAATTCTTGTTCATACAGCCCTCCACTTTCTTTAATTGATCGTTTACTGGAGGGGATGGAACCAATACTACACCACAGAGGAGTAACAACACACACTGACCTGAGGATAAACTGTAGGAGTCTTGCAAAAATGATGGCCTCATCTTTGCAATTAGTTATTGACTTTTTATATTTTTTATGTTAAAATGTAATAAAGGTATTATCATGACTACAATTTATATTGATTTTAATCGTTTTCTTCAACATTTTGTAGTAAGTGAAAATACAGAAAGCATTGCTCTATTGTTGCATTTGAAAATGCAATTGTTAACAAGCATCTTATAACATGGGTAACTACATGTACTTCGTTACTGTACCCAAGTACTTTTTTGCACTGTTACAAAGAATTTTTGGAGACATACACTCCAGTTTATATCACATTGAAGTATACAACATTTTAAAGCACCACTTTTTACAAGAAACAAATCAATCATAGTGCGCCTTCCACTAAATGCCTCCCCTAAATATTACATGTCCAGTCGTAGCTTAGCAATTGTAACTAGGTCTGGGCAACATTGTGCATTGTGTAAATGCTGAATATATGTATATATATATATATATATATATATATATATATATATATATATATACACACACACATATATATATATATATATATAAAGTGTGTTTGTGTGCATGTGTGTGTAGTACAATACCTTTACATTTGATATATAACTACATTTAAAAGCAAATACTTCTGTATTATTAACTCGGGTAAAACATAAATAGAACCATGTGTGTCTCTACTTTCATTCAAGTGCTGAATCTGTGTACTCTGCCCACCACTGACTGCAGGAAAACTTGTTGATTTATCAATAACTACTGTACGTCATTATCTTGAATATGAAGTGTAGTATAGCTAACCAGAGGAAAACGTTTTGATCTGTTGGACTTTTTTACATTATCCTAGTAATACACTAAGTAGCATTGTTGATTAGAATGAGATATATTTGTGTTCTTAGTTTCTTTACTGACAATGAGCTGAAGGGTTGTCCTTGTGATATGACGTAGCTGGAGGAGCTGTATGGTGTAAAGTTTAAAGTCAGCTAGCTGGTCTTTCAGTTGCGCCTGGGCCACAACTGTCTTAATACCCACACTCAATCAATAACAGTGGGGAGACACGACAAGGGCGACAAGATATTATCTGGCTCACACTCTGGGCTTCTGATTAAGCCTTCATCCCCACTCTGTCACACTGCGATGTGATTAATTTAATACCATTATGTCCTAATGACAGGCTGTCTGCAGGGCACACTGCCTGCCCCTGCCTTAGCCTGTCTGTCTGAAGCACAGAGAGGGGGAGTCCTCAATCCTTACACGCGCACACATATACATCCACTTTCACAATCTCAACTGCTTAATCCACTAGGCTATCAGCATTTGTTTTGATTCTTATATAAAGCATTAGCGCTCCCAGATGCCAACACACTCACACGCACACATTTCCACAGAGCAGCCAGTGCAACAGGAGAACCCTGGTTAACCCTGGCAATATTTCCCAAACAACTCCGTAGGAACTCTGTACTGTGGGAAAAAAGAGCACCAAGCAGTTCTGAAATAAGCCTATTATGGGCCAATTTTGGAAAACATTTTTTAACGCTTTTTTTTACATTTGCAGTGATTTATGAGGGTGACAGGCTGGCATAGCCTCAGGTGCTGAATGTGGTCCGAACTCTCTGCCCCTTAATTATAATCATTAGAGAGGCCCTCTAATTTCTATATGAATAATTGAGGGAGTGTGATGGCACCTGGGCCTTGGAGATATTCCACTGTGCTGTTCTTTTATATGACTTCCCCTACTCATACTTTTGACTGTGGCAAATCACATTAAAATGCAATTCACTGGTAACAGTGAAAATACCAGTACATACAGTACAACTAAGATAACAGAAAAGTAGCAAAGGTGGCGCAAACTGAGTCAGGCTGGAAATACAGTTGTACAATGTTCTGTCACTGTACTCACCAATGGGGGCATCATGCTTTTACTGGACGGTGGTATGACCACTCTCAGGTCTGGCTTGCGGCTGCCAATGCCCATGTTGCCCCCTGGTGGCGGCGGTGACTTTGTAGGCATGACTTTCCCCAGCCCGTTCCCGCTGGAAGTACCCAGAAGCCCCGGCGAGCCCCTGGGGTTAACGAAGCCATTTCCTGCAGAGACATGCAGAGACAGAGAGCATTATGGGAGTGCGTTCCAATCAACCAATCGTCATCAGCCGCGAGCCGAGTCGACAACACGCCATTTCGCAGCTGCAGTCATGGCATAGAGTAGCACGCAACGTTAAGCGTTCCCAACCCTCTGGGAAAGTTCTAATAGACTCGCTAATTATCCCTCACATTTACGAAAATAAAACAAGCATTTTAGAACTGATGAGCCCTCGGTTCTCTTGGTGAGCAAACATATAAAAGCCGGCTTTGTGCGTCCAAGGATGAGGGAGGCAATTCAGTTTAACAAATGTAGTGTGACTTGGGCTTTTAAAGATGGGAATGGCTAAAGTCATTATAGCTGAGCACAACTACTCACTGCCATAAAAGACTATTAAAGTTCCATTTTTGAAAGAAAGCCAAAACTTTGCTAGTGCATCACTTATAGTAGAAGATTTCTCAGTTTTTACTAAACTCAGTTTTCACCAAAATGTCAAAACAGCCTTGTCTGAACATGTCAATGCACAAAATAATGGTATAACCAATGTAAATATATACTGAATTCACTGCCAACAAAGAGCAAAATTATTCAGTATTTTTATTTAATGTATACAGGTGTATGCAAATGTTTGAATCCCCCTGTTCAAATTTGTTGATGTTTTTTTGATGTGAAAGTAAGTCAGTACATCCTCTACAGGGGACAAATGTAAATATGGTGATGTCTGCTGATTTTACTGCACAATTTAACAGTTTAACACATTGTAAAAACATAAAAATAAAACATATTGTTTTAAAACATAAAATACAAAATGTGCCACAACTTTTGCACAGACCATATTTTATTATTTTTTTCCCAGTATGTTAAATTCAGCAAATAAACAGTACTTGTGCATGAAATCGTGCAGAAGTGTGTTCTCTGTAGAGGGTGTGTACTTTTCACTTGGAACATCCACAAGACAAGTGTAATTTGACCAGGGCACCCAAACCTTTGCATTGACTATATTTATTTATTCATATATATTTAAAAGTGTTCATTTAATGCAATGTATCTTACAGAAACTTAAATGTCTAACACAGTCTACTGTACTGTTTTGGCCTATACTGTATTTTACTGTATTTGGATTAGACCTTTTTTTGTAAATTTTCTACAGTTACTGATGAGAAAAGAGTCTATTGTGACAGCATCTTTATGCCTAACGTCATAGTCATTCATATATTCATTGTAGGGCTTTCCAGCTCCTTGTGCGAACGTGAGTTCATTACAAAGCTGTCTTTCTACCATCTGCTGGCCCACATTGTTGGAGTTTCCTTCACATGACCGCTTGACATATTCTCCAACAATCGCAGGTCATTCGGCCACACGAACATGCAACTCCCGCAAAACAAACACAGGAATTACTACTGACCACTGAAAATAACACCACCAAACACAAGTGTCTACTATAAGTCAAAATGTCTGTGGGCTGGAACAAGAGTAGTTCTCCTGAGATGTTTGATCACAAGTGTCAGCTTCGTAGGGCCTTGCTGATTCAGATGGTGCTGAGCGACCAAACAACATGCAGGACTTAAAGCGAAAATTGCTTTTTAAGAAAAGGATCGTTTCATTTGCAGCCACTTGGGATTTGTCATGCGTGGTAAAGCACGCTGTCATTTCCGCATGTTTTTCTCTATGATGGCAGCTTGATTAAATGTTAGTCATGGGGCTTTTTTTCTCCCCATCCCCCACCCTGCGCTCATTTCCTGTGAGAGACTGCTCTGGGACATAGGGAGAGTGGGTCATCAGGAGAAGGGACATCACAGAGCAGAGGCTAAGGCCGGCTGGACAGCCTTATCACTACACTGGCTGTAGTGACTTAGCATTCAATTCACAGTTCAGAACATATTATAGCCTTATAGCAGACGCATCTCCTAGAGCAATACATTATGTACAAAATGTATACTTAACCTCTAAACTGTAGCCTTATTATTCAGTTATTAATCTTAAATCTTATAAACAAGTAATCAGTATAAATTCAGAAGCTAATAAGAAAATTATTTATTTATGACTCTTCGGAAATGAAGTATGTTCCACCATACGGGCCCAGAGTTTAAGCGGTAAAACACATTGTTTTAGTAGGTTTATGTCAAACAAAAGCTTTTCTTTACTTCTCCAGACAAGCCCGTGTTTTTCAAAGGGGTATCTTACTGGATTCTGTTCACTGACCAGTTTAAGGCAGTTTGGATTGCCATATACAGTATGTAATATCTTGTAAGCATCAAACAGACAGCAGCTTTAACCTGTACAGCCCTAATATTAAATAGCTGTCTAGTAAATATTTCTAACTCCACTTTTTCACTTTTTTCAGTCTACATCTATTGACATTAATATTAATACTAATGTCTTTATAGATTACTCTAGAGCTCTAAACATTGTGGTACTAAAATGTGATCAACAATAGATGTTTAAAAATAACAGGAACTAAAATGCACAATAGACAGCAGCTTTAAACCGTACAGCCCGCATATTGAATAGCTATCCAGTAATTAGCTACTAATTCCACTTTTTTCAGTCTACATATTTTGACATTAATACTGATGCTGATATCTTTATAGATTTCTTTAAAGCTCTCAATATTATGGTACTAATATGAGATCAACAATACAGGTTTGAAAATTACATGAACAAAAACGCATGCCTGCAAAACACATCTGAATCATTTAACAGTTTTCCTTTCAGGGAACATTACAGCAAGATATTTCTCTGAAATTCAAGGATTTGTCTGGAATAACAGATCGCAGTGTTAGCCTGAGATGAACTTCTAAGAAGAGTTTCATGTCCGGCTCTTCTAAGAACAGCTTCGTGTCTGGCCCTGTACGGTTCTTCATTTGGCAATAAGAATGCCACGTCAGCATGACCCCACGTGGAAAATCACCTTTCAAATCACCTTCTCTTCTTTCCACTACCGAATCCATAGTGCATATCTTTAGAAATACATAAGAAGTGTAGAAAACCACCTTTCTTAGTCTTTACGAGAAAACTTCAAACAAGCGAACTAGGTGACTTAGCTTCAATTATATATATATATATATATATATATATATATATATATATATATATAAGATGAAGTTACAGGTGTATTTATGGTGTATGAATGTCAGCCATGTCAATTCTTTTTTTCTCCCAACTACGCTGTCATTTCATCTTACCTTAACACCTTAACAAAAAAAAATAGATTTCTGATTCTAAAAAAAAAGTGTTAACCCTTCAACCGCATTCTGAAACTACAAACAATACAGCCTCATCATGACCAAAGACAACAGGCTGCAGTTTATCCAAATACATGAAATCACTATTTAGTAAGCAATGTAAAATATGAACCCGTCAACAGGAAGTCTAAGGTGAGCGTGGTGGACTGCATGTGCAAGTGCCGGGGGCGATGATGGGGGGGGGGCGAGGGTCTGTGAGAGAGGAAGGAACACATGTTGATATTACTGTAAAAGGCACAACAGCAGTAGGCAGCATCTCTGATAAAGATCAAGGAGAGAGCTAAACTATGATATCACTGCATGGAAACGCTCCAAAGTTCTGCTCTGAAACTGGAGGTGTTGCCTTGCACACGGTAACTGAAACCCATGAGAGAAACAACAAACTCATGTAGCTCTGTGCTGCCAAACCCACACTCAGCTCAGCGAAAAAGAAAAAGACACAAACACCCTCATATCACACACCCTGGTGTAAGAAAAGCTGATCAAGAGAACAACGCTCTTTAAGGCAATGTCTTCGTTTGCTTCTCTGCTGCCACAGATTAACCCTCAAAAGTGGAGTTATTACTTTCATTTTTTTGCAATATGTAATGTAATTATATAACTATTTAATTCTATTACTTATAATTAAACCTGTCGAATGATTAAAATTATGAATCATTTTCTTTTGTATAGCTGATTGTAATTAATCATATTTATCTTATTTGTTCAAATCTGACCCTACAGAAAGGTTTTTTTTCCAAATTAAAATGCAGTGCATTTTGTTATAGCTATACAAGTAGAGAAAATAAGCTGTATCAGAATGTATTTATTACTTTCAATAATTCAGTAGCATTATTGACATTGTATGAGCGCAGAGTTCACATGAACTGAACACAATAATCACCTGATTTCCACAGGGTGAACAGTTTTCTCATTTTTATCCCTGACTTCCAGTCAGAGTGAGTGTATCATATACACAGTCAAAGGCTCCAAGTCCAGTGTGATTGTAGCCCTCTCACTCTCATTCGTCTTTTTTCGAGGGCAACTATAGGTTTCCACTTTTCTTTTACCTCTGCTTTTGTTATTCTGCGAAATTACTCATATTGCCACATCAGTGGTGTGTTTTACTTGTAAAAGATAATTTAGAGTCAGTGTACTTTTCTGATAAATTCATGGCACTGCAGTAACGGGAAATAACTTTGGTTTTATTGAGAGAACCAACACTGATACTTATCATTTAAAAGCTGATCCTTTAAAAAATTAAAAAATTACTGGCATTAGTTTATTGTGTTAACACACTATTAACATGTTAAAATGTTCACGAATTAGAATTCATATTTATACGCAGAAAATGTAATTACATTTATGTTCAACTTACATCCTGTAATGACAGGTTTGAGACTGCACTTTTTCCATTTGTTATGATGTCAAGAAATTAAAAAATTGTTAGACAAGATTGTATGCAAAACAATAACTTTTTTTTATCAAATTCAAATAATACAATATCTCAGAACAAAAACATAGTGTTGATTGAGAGTTTAGAGTCTGCACTTCCATTGCTTGTGTCAATAAGCTCTAAATGCTTAACAATTTTTGTTATTGCTGGTGATAAGGATGACTGAGCAGTGCCACTACATCAAGCATGCTCTATAATGTGCCATGGTTGCCATTTCTCTTTCAGAAGACAGGGTTTGTTTTTGACTCATGCTGGATTCTTGCCATGCCCCGCCGAGTGAACCCGACATAAAACTGTCCCGAAATGAACGTGGAACAAAGCCATG